CAGTGCCCACCTGAAAGACATCATGGGACGCTGAAGTTAGAATCAAAGTGCAGCTAGAAACGGGCAGCCACCTGGAGCACGTCCATCCTGGCAGCTGTCAGAAAGCACAGCATGTTCACTACCGGGGGCCGGCCTTGCTCACGTTCTCAGATGGAGGTTCCCAGAATGCCGTGGCTTCTTCAGGGATCTGTTGTCCAGCAGTGAAGGGAGGGGGCTCTGGAGGCAAACGTGCGCGGTGTGCCCCAGCTGCACTGGCTCCCAGGGAGTCACCTGGGTTCGTGAGCAGGGAGGCCAAGCTCACTGAGAGCCTCAGCACACCAGCAGCACCTGGTGTGAGCGAGCTGCCTGGCTTCCCTGAGCCTGGTTGTGATGACGTCACGGGTGTTTGCAGATTCCCCTTCACTGTGTCCCACAGCACTCTTCGTTCATGTGTGATACGCTGCACTTGGGGTGGAGGTGTGCACACCACCGTAAAGGGCTGAGCCTTTCTTCATTCTTCCCCATGGCTCTGATGCAGATTTCACATACCAGTTAGGAAGGAAGTTCCTGAGATGATGGACCTTGTAGTCACATAGGGCTGCTGGGGTGAAGTGTCATAGACTTGGGGGATGGACGAGGCATGTATTAAGCAAAGAAATGTCTTTGTCACAGTCTGAGGGCTGGAAGTCCAAGGTTAGGGTCCTGGTGTGGTGAGGTTCTGGTGAGGGCTCCCTTCCTGGCCTGCAGATGGCTGCCTTCTCACTATGTCCTCGTGTTGGAGAGAGAGAGCTCTGGGGTCTCTGCTTCTTACCAGGGCCCTAATCCCAACATTAGGGCCCCACTCTCATGGTCTCATCTACCCCTGAAGAACTCCCAAAGGCCCCATCTCCAAATACCATCATGTTGGGAGTTAGGGCTTCAGGAATTGTGGGGGACACGTTCAGTCTATCGGAGCCCCCCAGTGAGCCCCACTGTCCCCGTTTAGGGGCAGATTTTAGGCTTAAGGCGGGACACAGAGGTGGAGGAAGCACAGGTTCTGCCTCCTGGGAATGGTTCAGCCAAAACAAGGACAGGGATGTGGGGCAGACAACAGCCAGTGGGGTAACCAGCAGGAGTCCCGAGGTGCCACTAAGCCGAGGTGTCACTTTCATCCTTAGGTGAGGAAGTTGGCTGAGCACCACACACACCAGAGTACAGACCATGTTCCCTTCAAACACAGCTCACTTACCATTCCTCAACCCTGCAAAGGGGAGGTGCTACCTCGTCTCCTGAGGATGGCCCTGAAGGCATAGGAGTCACGGGAACTGTGCACATCACCCACCAGTGACTCTTCACTCCCCACATTTTTCCCAATGGGCTGATGTGCACCGAGCTGGGGAAGCCCTGCCAGGATAAACTCTTCTTCCCAAAGGCCACAGAGGGCAAGCGTCTGACACTGCCCACATGGAGCAGAAGGGAGGGGGCAGAGGGGCATCTGTCCAGCTGACTGGTGTGTTCTGTGGGCGGGTGGGGCTGGAGAGGACCCAAACATGGCTCCCTTTGTCACTCAGCAGAGGCCAGACCACCGTGTAAGGTACAGCTGTGCCCCACCAGCCTCTGCTGCTGTGCCAGTCCCCAGCACCATGACCACAGCTCTGCATGCAGGGAGTACTGGGACCAGTGCTCTGGCAGTCACTGTGGTCCTGAGCCAACAAGTGCCCTGGGGAGGAACCAGAACTCAGACGGTGAAGAAGGTGTTGGCCACGAGGGAACCAGGGCGGGTGCCGGGTCCTGTCTATGCTGGGATCTGAGATTCTGAGAGGTGGGTTAGGGGTAAAGGGGTAGAGGTCGACCACATAGGGTGAGGGGAGTTCAGCAGAGATGGGGAGGACAGGACAATGTGGGAAAGAGCAGAGCATCCTCCCCAGCCTCAGTCCCTCTCCTGATGCAGTCCTCATCTCACTCTTAGACTCTGGAAGTCTCCCTTCAGCGAACACCAGGCCCCCGACTCCCAGGGCACTTCCCAGACAGCCAGTGCCACATCCCAGGCAGCCCCTGCTCTGTCCTTGAGGTCTGAGCCTGGCAGAAGGGCGGCTGACCCTCGGCCCCTCTCGGCCCAGGTCCCAGCTCTGCCTGGCCCTGGGACCAGCAGACACACCCACCCTGCACCTGGCAGGCTGGCCATGCTTGTGCCCGTTGGTGATGGTGGGTTGGGAGGGAACTGTTTCAGATACCAATGTAAATCTGTGTCTGCATCAATTCCACACAAGAGTTCAGTCATCATGTGGGAAGGGAATCATAGCTGTGGGGGGCTCCATGCAGGACCCCGAGGGCCCCTGAGGCCAGTCCCTGTGGCCACAGCAAGGAGCACCTGCTTCCGCCAGTTGGACAAGACTCTTTCCTGCCCAGAAACGGGAGAGGGACTTCCCCTGCTCCTCACCCGCCATCGTATCACAAGCACACCTGTGTGGATGGACGCCTCAACATCTCCCCTCAGCCCGGGGCCTGAGCTCTTCCTGATGAGGGTTAAGCAGGAGCAGCCGCCTCTCCCTGTGTCCCTGTTGCAGGCAGCTGCCTTCTCCTCAGCTCCCACTGGGCATAACAAGAGCCAGCCAGCTCTCAACATCCCAGGATTTTCCAGGGATGCTGATAACTGAAGCAGGCGGGGCTTTGTGAGTGGGTGGTGGGAGGGATCAGAGCTTCCTAAGCATCCGTCAGTCCCTGGAGCACCTGAAGGGGCAGCCTACACCTGGAGAAAAGAGTGGGCTGGCCCCCCTGGGTCCCCAGTGCCTGGCATCTCCTGGTCCCTCTGCCCTCCTTCACAGACCCCCTCCACTGAGCAGCACAGCCCTGAGGACAGAGGCAGCAATCCGGAGAGCATTTCCAACACAACTATATTTATTCAGATTTACACACAAGACCGGGAAGGTATTGCTCCCCACGCCCTACCTCCTACCCCTAGGCCCTGCCTTCCAGTTCAGCCACCCTCTCCCTCTCCTTCCTCGCCCACCCTCTCCCTCCTCTCCCTCTCCTGCCCTCCAAAGCTAGGGCCCAGCAAGATCAGCAGTGGTGGAGAAGTCTTTGCTTTGAGGCTTCCAATGCCGTGAGGGTCTGAGAGTTGAGAGCCCCACCCTTGGGGATTGGCACCAGAGAGCCTGCCCTGTGGCTCCTACTTTCTATAATGGCGCTTTTTCTTCCTCTTAGAGACCAAGTGGTCACCCTTTCTCTTTTGAGACTGTGAGGGGCCACCCAGCTCCCGAGCCAGGGATTGTGCCCCAGAGACTCCGAGCCCAGGCCCTAGGTGGGGTGAATGTTCAGCAGGGAATGGGCCTCTGAAGAGAGCTCGCTTCTTGGACTTGGTGGCAGGAGCGGGTGCTGGGCTGAGGCCTCTTCTCTTTGCAGATTGGGACCGAAGAGCTCCCTGGAGTCCCCGTCCTTCTGGGCTGAGAAGGCCCAAGGCAGGGACAGGGCTCTCAGACAGCTTCCCGGGCAGCAGCCTGTAGTTGGTACCCACGACAGAAACCATACCAGGGCTTTCCCTCTCCTCCTCACTTGACCCCTTAGACAACCTGTGTGACTCCTTGACAGGAGAGGCTCCAGGGAGACCCCAGGTGTCTTTGGTCCCCACGCCTGGGCAGGTGGGTCTATGGTCCTGGGGAGGAGAGTCTGGCCGGGCAGCCCTCAGCCAGCGGGAATCCAATCTCTCCAAAAGCACAACAGGGATTTTGGACCTGGCTATCCCAGTGCGCTCTCTGCCTCGTCCCTGAGTGTCCCGAGAGGCTGTCTGGGACCTTCCTCTGTGGTCCTGGGGAGTAGAGTATGGCCCGGCAGCCTTCAGCTTGTGAGAATCCAGCCTCTCCAAAAGGACAACAGGGTTTATGGACCTGGCCATCCCAGTGCATACTCTGCCTTGTCCCTGAGGGTCCTGGGAAGCCCTCTGGGGGATGGGTCTGTGATCCTGAGGAGGAGAGTTTGGCCGGGAAGCCCTCAGCTTGTGGGAATCCAGACTCTCCAAGAGCATAACAGGGTTTTTGGACCTGGTCATGCCAGTGCGTGCTCTGCTTCGTCCCTGAGGGTCCCAGGCAGCTGTCTGGGGTGGGCAGGTTTCCATGCTGACTCTTTGCTGGTGGCCAGGGACATCTTTCTCTGCTCCTTGGCCTGCTGCAGACTCAGAAGAGATTGAGCCCAACCGGGCGGTGCCATGATTAGGGGCTGCCCTCGCACACCGTTCCTCCTTCAAGGATAGGCGGCGCTTCTCTGCTACCTGCGGGAGGAAAGGGGGCACTTACTGGCACTGCCCCAAGTGTGAGCGGGGCCCAGGGTGGTGGAGACGGCCCAAGGGCACTTGGGCGGCAGGCAGGGAAGCCTGAGGCAGCTGGGCTTCCTGTCAAAGATAGAGGGTGTGGCTCTGCAGGGCATCCCGCTGGGCCTCACTGCAGTTTGCATCCTGACCCCCCTCCCTGGCTCCTCTCCATCCTGCTCCATCTGAACCTGCACCTCCCCACCTCGGAGTGGCTCCCCAAGAAGCTGAGCATCCCGGCAGGGTCGGGTAGACAATCAGGTGGCGCCTGTGTGCCGGGTCCCTCCTGCCCCTGGGCTGTCTGGGTTCCCCTCCCTCCCTGCTCTACCTGGGCCAGGGTGAGTCCTTCCTCCTGCTCCAGCTCCTGGCTTAGGGCCAAGAAATCCATCTGTGGATCTGGGGAAAGCAATTCTTCCAGGAATTGGGGGTGAATGACGGCCTCTACCTGGAAACAGAAGGAAGACGGCGTGAGGTTCCTGGGAAGGGTGTCCTTGGTTCATGGAGCCAAGGACACCTGGAGGAGATGCAGAAAGCAGCGAGCGCCCCGTCCCCACCCTTCTGAAGCTGTCTCATACCATGGCGACCACCAGCTCCACACACAGACCACAGACCTGGTAGCATCCACACATGCAGACAGAGACACACAAACCACACACAGACAGACCCACATACGACACAGGAAAATACACAGACACAAGTAACATACACACGCCACACTCACACCCACACAGGCACACAAAAACACACAGTAAAAAATCACAGGCACAAACACACAGCAGAGCTTAATTCCAAGGACCTGTGAGTGCCACCCCCTGGAATTCTGCAGACCCCAGCAGTTCAGTCCAGCACACCTTGGTGACGAAGTCTTTCTGGGAACACAGATTGTCAACGTAGCTCAAGACGCCTGGATCTAGAAGCATCCCGTCCCCTTCCTGCTCCACTTCACCCGCTTCCCATTGTGCCTTGAGCTCCCCGATGGCCCCAGCGGGAGGCCCCAGCAGCTCCTCCATGATGTCCACATACTCCTGCACCACTTCAGGGGGGATCTCCTCGGGGGCCTTGGTCTCCGCTGGCCGCTGGGGCCTGGGTGGTGACAGGCAGGCAGGCGGGGCCTTGGGGCCGGCCTTGCTGGGAAGGTGCACTGAGGCAGGGAGGGAGGGCGATGGGCGTGGTGAGGGCTGCTCCTCCTGCCTGCACCACACAGGGGAGGGCAGGGCTCGGGGACGTGAAGTGGGTCCCAGCGGGGTCAGGACCATCTGAACCACAGTGCCCCAGAGGAGACGCCGCAGGAGGGGTACATGGGAGACAGCATTGTTTTAGAGGAAGCTTGGAGTCACTGATGAGCTGAGTGCTCTACCTGTTGATCCCTGCTTCCTGGGCAGATTGTTGAGTTTTAAAATGGTGAGGAGAGAGAGTAGCTGGGAAACTTGACCAGGTGAATACCCACTTCATGACCACGGGATGCCCCGCCCCCCAGCTTCCCTGAGCTATTTTGTTGGAAGGAGCAAATCCCTCTCTTGAAGGGAGGCATGAGGTGTGGGGACAGTGGTCTGCCTTGGCCCCTGTGGCCTTTGCTGTGGCTTCTGTGGGAATGTGGGAAGCCATACCAGACTGATTGGCCACCTGAGGGGCCGGGGTTCCTTGATGTTCAAGCCTCGGTGGGGCTGGAGGAGGCAGGTACTGGGACCCCTTCATCCACTGCGACTTCTGAATCTGCATCTCTTCCTCAGCCTCAAACTCCAGGAACCTGGGGTGAAGAAGGTGCAGGCGGTGCTGAGAGGGTCCAGGCGCCCTGCCCCCAGGACCAGGCAGCAGCCAATGGCAGGGATGGGAAGGAGTGCCTCGGGCAGGTTGTGCAGGCCCTCCCTGGGGTCCATCCCCCAGTCCCAGAAGGGAGCAGCTCCCAGAGTTCTGGGGTCACCCTCCCTCACCCAGCCCCTGCAGAGCCCATGGCATCAATAGGGCTTGCTGACTGAAGTCAGGGCCAAGAGGCCCTGGAGGGCACCAGGGCGTCACCTCCTCAAGGCTTCAGCTGGCCAGTGTTGGGGTTTATGGCAGAAGGCGTCAGGAATATTGCCCAGATGCACGAGTACTGAGGTTGGGACTGTGGGGATAACCTAGGAGGACGAGGCCTGGGAGACCCTGGTCAGGAGGAAGCAAAAGCTGGACCCAGAAGACAGGGCCCCTTTCTCCTGAGGCTGCTGTCTGTCTGTCTTAACAGAGGGGAATTCCCAGTAGCAAAGGCAGGCAGGCCAGAGATGGGTCTCATGGTGTCCTGGACGCAGGTCTCTCCTGACCCAGCGCAGGTTTCTGCAATCCTGGCCAGGCCGGGATGGGTGAAAACCGACTTCTGGCCATGGCTGTGAGGAGAGTGCACCACACTCTATAGTCACCGGGGCCCCTTTTCCCCGTCCCCACAGCTGGAGGTGACCACCTTTGGGCTGTGATGCTGGCTGCTCCCTTCAAGACCCCCAGTGTCAAGGCAAGGGTTGGCCACAGGCCGGGCAGGGCGTCACTTCCCACCAGGGCTGGTTAGAGACCCAAGAGCACTCTAGGAGGGAGGAGCAGCTTGCTGAGGGAGCCAGGGGCTCAGGGGGGCCTGTTTGTCCACACCCTCCTCATGCCCCACGCTGAGAAGCCACCATGGCCACCAAGCTTCTTGTCACCCTCTCTCACCCTGCCATGCGGGATCTGCCCCTGCACCCCAGACTCACTTTCCCGCCATCTCGTAGTAGATCATCCGGTCAAAGTTGCTCGTGAGCTGCCATTCCCGCATGGCCTGCCACAGTCCCTCCTCCAGGGTCATGCTGGGCTTCCGCCGGGCCAGGGATCTGAGAACTGGGCTGTAAAGCAGTGCAGTCAGTCCCAGTCCATGAGCCCACCCTCCATATCAAGCCCACGGTCCCAACACCCAGCCCCTGTCCTCCCCACACTTCTACTGCCATCTGTCCCTGTCCTGTTCTTCCCGACATGGGCAGGGCATGCCCGCGAGACCAAACATCAACACAAGCCAACGGGTGGCCTCTCCAACTACCCCTGGAGTCCTCAGTGTTACAGTGTTGACAAGTGAACTCAGTACTATGGGTGGCACGTGTGTGTCTCCAGCATTCCTGTGCTCATGCCCTCAGCCCCAGTGTGTCAGTTCTTGGAGTCAATTAGGGTTAGAGCAGGTCATGAGGGTGGATTCCAGTCATGGCATCAGAACCCTGATAAGGGCAGGAGGAGACACCAGGGCTCTCCCTCTCAGCCACAGGAGGACACAGCCAGAGGCAGCCCTCTCCAGCCAGGGTACCAGTCTGCAGCTGCCTTGATCTGGGACTTCCGGCCTCTGGAACTGGGAGACGTGACTGTATCCTGATAAAGCACCCAGTCTATAGGAGTTGTTATGGAGGAGCCTGAGCTGACTCAGACAGCATGCACACAGAATGACCGGGGAGCCAGGGTTAACGTGCAGGTTCCAGGGCCCCAGGACTGAGCATTTAACCAGCTTCCTGGAGACTCTGGAGCAAGGCAGCCCCTGGGGACGTAGCCTCTGAGTCCTGGAGAGGAGCAGAAACCAGAACCAAAGCAGAGCGGTATCCAAGCCCACTGAACGCGGATCCTGTGAGCCTGGGGCGGCTCCACTCCGAGAATCAGGGTCCCCAGTGCACCGGAACTCAGCTCTAAGGGAGAAGGCAACCAGTCCCAGGATGCAGGAGCAGCAAGATTTTTGGGACAAAGATTAGGCCTACTTAACACCTACACCCTGGGCAGGGGACTTGCCTAGGGGAGTGGCCAGTGTGTTGCCTGGTGGATGTGATGATTTTCCCGTGGAATACGGGTTTGCTTATCCACGGGGGACACAGAGTCACAGAGGCACCGCAGGATGGAGAGAGGCGGGACTGGGACTGAAACCACAAACTCTCCCAGATGCTGGCATTGCTGCCTCAGTCACCACAGTCCACAGCTCTGGGCTGCTGTGCTCGTGGTGCACTCAGAGCCATCACTGGAACCCTTGGCTTTGGGGAGCGCTGTCCTAGATGGCCTACTCCTGATAATGATAGCAATAGGGATAGTATTCATAACTGCTATCATGTAATGTGTCACAGCGTGTGCCGGGCACTGTGCTGCGTGTGTCATAAGTGAGCTCAAGTCACCTCTTCACCATCCTCTGAATGAAGCATCATCGTCCCTTTTTCTAGGAGGGATCAAGGGCGAAGCTGCAAATACCTGCCCAGCGTGGACCCTAGTGCGGGGCCCAAGACCATCCCCTGTGCAGGCTCCACCACCGCTGTGCCAGTGGGACCTCAGCAGAACAGTGGACGTGTGCCAGGTTCCTGCAGCTCCCACCCCAGCCCCATGTGCTGTGTCCCTGGCCTTCGCCACTCAGGTCAAGGGGAGGCACTGGGGCGAACTCAAAGTCCTAAATCCAACCCGTGGCTCATGTCGGACCGGGAACCCTCTCTGACCTGGGTCTTCTGTAAACATTGTCATGAAAATGATTGAAAGGAAGGATTGGCTGGACTCACGGCACAGTGAGGGGCAGGTGAGATGTGGCCCCTGAGAGTCTGTCCTGAGCAGCAGCCAGATTAATGTTGCTGAACATGTGCCCTTCCATAGCTCAGCCCATCGCCTTCAACAGCGCTCTGCAAGCTCCCCTGAACAGCGTGACCTCCCGTCCATCCAGCAGCCCCTTTACGGGTGAGCTGCAGGACGAGCTCCGGTGCCCCGAGGACACTCACATGAAGAAGCAGGAAAGCGCTTCCGTGTCCGGACTCTGGGGAAGGTGCCTCCGGGCCAGGGGCTTGTAGTGCTGCCAGAGTCGGAAGTTCTCATACACGCTCTTGGGGTTGCAGGAGTCGTCCGGGGGGGCCTTGGCCTGGGAGGGAGCCAGGCTGCCCTCTCCATGAGCCCCTTGTGGCCATGGACCAGTGTTCCCTGGGGCCACGATGGGGGCCGGCTGGGGAGCAGGTGGTCGTCCTGGAGGAGGAAGGCCCTGGGACCAGCCTCCCTCGCAGGCCTGGGTGCCCCCAAAGACATGGGCAGCCATATCGGGCAGCACAGGGGCTGCTGCCAGGAGTCGGGGAGGTGGACATGTGACGCCCTCACAGAAGGCACCTGGAGCCTGCCAGACGAGGGGGCCCTGAGTTAGGACTAAGGTCTGTGCCTGAGGGGCCTTCATAGGCCCCACTTCTGTCTTCATCTGGACAAAGACGTTGGAAACCCCAGCCGAATTCAGGGCGTGGCCATCCTGTCCTGCCACCAGAGGGGTCCTTGGGAAGGCAGACAGCACCGGAGGGCCGCCTGGAGAAACTGCTGCAGTCACGAGGGGCGGCCCGTGTGCTGGGCCGGGAGCAGGTGTGGCGAAGGACAGAGCCGTGAACACTGGCATGGAGGCGCCAGGGTTCTCGGTCATGCCCGGTCCCAGCACTGGGTATGCTGTGAAGACAGAGGAAAGAGGTGAATGAACTGGGGTCTCAGGTCGTCCCTAGTCACTGGGGAATCAAGAGGGGTGTCCCAACAGCTGAGGGCGTGTGACACAAATCTGCAGCTTGCAGGTGTCCCTGAGTATGCATTGCATGCTCTGTTCCTCCACAGGAGGGTCACTTCACTAGAGAGCGGCAGTTAGCTAAGATTGCACCACTGCATTCTAGCCTGGGTGAGAAAGCAAGACTCCATCTCAGAAAAGAAACAATGAAAGAAAACCTCTGGGTGGAAATCTCTCCCAAGCCAGCACCCTGCGAACCCTGAAGATAACCCATAAGCATCACACCCAGTGTGCAAGTGATTGTACCAGCACCATGCACAGCAAGTGCTAAACATGGGTCAGAGTCAGGGAACACTCTCCTCAGTGCTCGGTGGTCCTGGCTGCCACTCAGGAAGCTCTGTTCCCAGGGAGCAGGTCTGAGAAGCAGTGGTGGCGTTTCCGGAGATACTGTCATTGCGCAGCCAGCAAGAGCAGCACACGATTAGAGCACAGCCAGCAAGCGGTGAGCAGTGGGGCTGTCAGGGGAGGTGTCCGGGGATTTTCACAGCTGCTGGTCATGTTACAGTAGGTAGGGGGACAATCAGCCCATCTCTAGTCCTTTTCCTTTGAGCTCCCAATAAATGAATATAGTGACCAACCAAGAATCAGACGTTCTTGGGCCACAGGCCAGGTGGGGCAAAGTTATCTGGAGCTCATTCCTGTTCACTAGAACCTCATGCAGTCTCCAGTCAAGGGGAATAGGGATACAGCACATGTACCTCATCAGTCAGGACACACATCCTAACTTGAATAATAATAAGAGGACCATTTTCCTATTTGTGTGTTATTCTCCTTCCTCTACTGAATAGGAAACCATCTTTCCAGACCCTTCCACTGAGAAGCAGCAAGAGTCCATGCCTGTCCCCTGTTCACGAGGTAGTAGACATGGAACAGATGCAAATCCTTCATCTCCACAGTAACACAAAGTGCAGAGGACAGGCCATGAGCTAGCAGACAAGAGGAAGTGGGTCTGAAGACCTGAGCTTCCACAAAACGATGAACAATTCAGAACAACCTGGGAAGCCCAGACCGTGTTGCCTGAACTTCCCCAACTGCCCCCACCCCTGTTAAATCAGAGCCAACAGCCACCTGAACTGACCGAGAAGCCACCTCTGGGGAGGGAGCTGAGAGGCTGTCACAGCCAACCCACCCAACAGTTTTCTGGCTGAGACCCCTTCTCCCCACTCCTCCCTAAGCTCTAGAAAAGTCCAGTCCAAATCCCTCTGAACACTATGGAAGAACACCTTCCAGGTGCCTGAAGACACAACACAGGGCTCAGGCTTGCCTGTCATCCTCCCTGGGCCACCAGCACAACACCATCCCACCATTCCCCTACAAACACACGGTGATGTGACCTGTCCCCCTCTAGAAAGAATCAATACATCCACTCCATCCTTTCCCCTACACGGTGTATTCCCCCAGGCATCTTGATCTGCCTCTAAGGAGCCATCCTCCCTAACCACAGACTCAGGATGCCATGGCCATCTCCAGGTGTGATGTCTTTGGGGACATCCAGTGCTCCCACCCTCCTCAACATCAGCCCTATCAACTGTCCCCTGGGGCAGTGTGAAATTTGAATTCCCAAGGATTTGAAACATGGCAGAGACTTGGATAATGCCCCTGTCCCTACAGACTCACCTCCATTTGAAGCCATCCCCTTAGGCTGGGTGCTGGTCACCGCTGTCTGATAGTTTCCACAATGAGAAAAGTCAAGGGCAGGACCCAGAGAGTGAACTGCCTCAACAGATTCTCCTGAGTTCAGGTAGATCAGGGAAAATTTGAAAGTAAATAGGTTTAGAACATAGGACCCCAGACATTCTGCAGAGGGGGAGGGGCAGTGCAGCAGGTACTGGTAGGGGTGGGGGACATTCTGTGAAGAGCTCCAGCCAATAGGCAAGAACTGAGGTTCCCTTCCAGTTGGACGGCAGCAGCGTGGACTGTGTGAGCCTCTTTAGGCAACTTTTCAATTGTCCTTCGGGCTCAGAGCACAAAGCTTCAACCTGTTGACCCCTTTACTTCCATTCTTTATCAGCAGACCTACTTTTGTGCCCCTCAACCCATGCTGCTTCCCACTTGGGCTCTTTCCCGCTCTTGATGAATCTCAACAGGGGCTGCACTTCCTAAACACAATTTAGCACACTTCCTGAGAACCCTTGTGTTTGTCAGACGATCCACATCTGGATTCTCTGCCTGGTTCAGGCAGAAAGCCTTTAGAAGAAAGCCTTAGTCTGGGAAAGAGTGGCTTTTCGGCCAGAAAGCCTTTCATTTTGTTTCCCAGTATATTGTGCTGGTATTAAATGTTTATTTTTTAATACCAGACGGAGCTGCCTTCTTACATGCAGCCCTATTCTCCCGTGCAGCTCACCTCGATCTTAGCTGAGAAGATTGATGGAGAGAGATTCAAGCAAAATCATGGTAAACTTACCAAAACAACGTCCCCAGTAGTGGGGATTGCAGGTGTGCACCACCACATGCAGCTAATTTTTGTGTTTTTAGTAAAAGACAGGGTTTCACCATGTTGGCCAGGCTGATCTCCAACTCCTGACCTCAGGTGATATGCCTGCCTCGACCTCCCAAAATGCTGGGTTTATAGGCATGAGCCACTGTGACTGGCCTGTTAACACTGACTTCTGAGTTACTCCTTCCCATTTCCTTCTTTGTATTTCTATTTGCAAATGGTTTTTATCCTTATATCAAGATCATCTGTGATATTGACTTACTTAATTGGCATCTCCCTTTTGTTTTTACAAGTGATGGCCAGAAAATGAGCAAACGGAAAAAGAATTATCCAGATCGAGTTTCCATTATCCAGAAGTATGGTGCTGATGCGCTCAGGTACAAACCAGTGCTTTGCCTTGTGTGTATTTATTGTTTTTTATGTAAGCGTCTCCTTATACTATTAGAATTCTTAGATTTCGTTTATAGTTAGGTTTTTAACAACACATCTCTGTTATAATTTGGGTGTTATGTTGGTATGCTTGTTGATCTTCAACTCCCCAAATAGTTTTCTAAATAATAAAGGCATTTTTAAACCCAGAGGTCTGTTTGGGGAAGAGGACCTCTGTTGGGTGTTGTGGAGCTGACCAAGCCCTCCCCAGGCTGGATTCGGATTGCCTCTGCCTTACTTCCTTTCTAGGTTCCCTGTCTTGTTGGTATTCAAATTCTCTTTCATCATTTATTTTAATTTTGTACCTACAGAGCCATGTGAGATATATCTATGCTTGAGCCTGGTTGTGGTGCTGCCAGAGAAACAAAGCAGGACGTGAGTTTGTGTGTGTGGAGCAGGGACTTAAGATCAAGGAGGATTTTGCAAAGAGTGGGATAGAACATTCTAGGTAAAATGAACGCTTTAGCATGGCAATTACTTCTCAGTACTCATTTTCAGTTGGTGGACAATCATTCAGTCCTAGACAGTTTTACTGTCCTTCCTTCCTGAGGTTTAAAGTAACTAAACCCTGCACTTTCTGACAAGGTTTTAGAATGTCTCTCAATTCTTAATTACTGTTTGGTGCCGAGAAGTAATGCTTTCCTAAACTCTCTTCGGTTCACTCAAAAACATAATTGAGGACTTAATGTCCTACGTTAGTGCTTATCTTGAAAATATTGCTGAAAATCAGAAATTCACATTGCCAGCAGGGTTTGGGATTTTTTTTTATTTGTTTGTTTAAGTGATTTTAAAAGTTTATTTCCTTATAGTAACTTACCCCAATGTGCAAGTGTTTCACTGATTGTTCATTCCTAGGAAGAAGAAACAGAATTTCTCTACAGTGAGAACATAGTTAGAAAAGGCCCCAACATTACAGACCAGTGGATCCTGTCCTTCATGCAGTCTCTCATTGGCTTCTTTGAGACTGAAATGGCAGGTGAGTCTCTCTTGGTCTCTCCTCCCAGAACTGCTGTCTCTGTAACTGCCCTTTTGGTATGTATCTGTCTGTAAACACAGTAGAAATATTGAGAGATACAGAAAATTAAATAATTACTTCCTTTCCCCTCTCAAATGTAGTTTTGTTAAGGCTTGTTAATTGTTGGGATGTCTTTGTTTCAAGACCCTGGGGAATTCTGACCTGGCTTGGTGGCTCACACCTGTAATCCCCAGCATTTTGGGAGGCTGAGGCGGGCAGATCACCTGAGGTCAGGCGTTCAGACCAGCCTGGCCAACACTGGTGAAACCCCGTCTCTACTAAAAATACATCAAAGAAAAAATTAGCTTGCCATGGAGGTGGGCACGTGTAACCCCAGCTACCCAGGAGGCTGAGGCGGGAGAATCGCTTGAACCTGGGAGGGGGAGGCTGCAGTGAATCGAGATTGCACCACTGCCTGGGTGACAAGAGTGAAACTCCATCTTTAAAAAAAAAAAGCACTGAGCAATTCTGTCTTTAGGGGTGTCCTGACGAGCTCAACCCTCCACGGAAGAGCTTTGGAGCTCGGTAGCTGCGGGTTCAAAGCCCAGCTCTACCACTTGTTCCCAATCCAGAGAGTTGCCTCAAGTCTGACCGTCAGTTTCTTTTTTTTCTTCTTTTTTTTTTTTTTAATTTTTATGGGTACATAGATATATATATTTATGGGGTATATGAGATATTTTTAGACAGGCATACAATGTGTGATAATCACATCAGAGTAAATGTGGTATCCATCACCTCAAGCATTTATTGTATCTTTAAACATCCCAATTATACCCTTTTAGTTGTTTTTAAATGTACAAGAAATTGTTGTTGACTGTAATCACCCCATTGTGCCATCAGATGCTACTCATTCATTCTATCTTGACCTTCAGTGTCTTTATTTGCAAAATGCCCAGTACTGTTTGTAAGGCCTTAGTAGAGATGATTTCCATAAAGTAGTTGGCAGATAATAGGTACTCAATAAATAATACTACATTTATAAGTTATTTTTAGGTCTATTACTGAATAGTCCCCATCTTTTCCAGAAAAATTAGAAAAGTCAGAAGAGCAGTAATGAAATGCACATATTGCTATATTTCTATTAACTAACATCAGTAAGTTTGTTAGGTAATTTTATAGAGATTCAAAACTACATTATGTTGAGTTCCTCAGGGTTTCAGATAGTTAGAACCATAGGTCCAAGTGAGATATCTAGGACACCTCAAACAGTCAGTTAAAGTGGGCAGGCAGAGGCCCTGGGTCACAGTGAGGACGAAAGAGGGCAAGGCAAATCCATCCTCACAGGACCCTGCAGATCCTGCTGCTGTTGGGCAGAGCAGCGACCACCACCGACCTGGGATTCACCATTAGCCTGTATACTGGGGCATGCCACTCCCTGGAAAAGGCAGTACTGCCCCACATAGCACAAAAAGACTGTTAATCAGTCGCCCTAAAGGATTTGTCCACCTTGTTAAACATGTAGAAGGATCATGAGAGTCCAGCTGTTGCTCAGATGGACGTGAATGAAGATGGAAATGAATGTGAGGCTGATTCCTGCCCTGAGGAGGGCAGCACTGGGAGTCCAGCACACTCCGCCCAGACTGCTCACAGCTGTGTCTGCTTTTCCCTCCTGAGTGATGGGTGGGAAATGTGGGGATTGTTGCTTGGAGCAGCTGCCATAACCTGGTGAAGCTGGATCTGGAGAGTGTGCACCCTGCCTGGAGCCTCATCTGCCTGGAGATCAGCAGCCACGTTGTGTGGGTCATGTTTAAGTCCCAGCTCTGCCAGCCTGTCAGCTTCATGCCCTCCACTCCCTCAGCAGCACTGTGGCTGTGAGAGGACCTGGCTCACAGGTTGGCGGTGTCCTGGGTTGTGGCTGCTGCTGCTGCCCCCGTATGTTGTATGTCCATTCATTGCATGTGGGGTTCATTTACTCCCTCAGAGTTGAAACCAGAACATAGAAAACCTGAGCTTCCTGGAAGGTAAAAAGTGGTGTGAACCCTAGAAATCATTTAGACAGACCTTAGTCACTGAAATCACCTGTTGAGGAAAGTGTGACCAGCTAACGACTCTGGCCTGGGGCTCAGCCTACTGGCACCTGAGTTCTGGTCTTTGTGAACAGCAGCAGAGCAGCTCTGCCCGTTACAACTTCTCATCTCTTTAGCTTAGACCAGAAGCCTCATTAAAACTCCCTGGATTCTTTTCATTATCATAAACTGTGTTTGTTTCTAAGTGTTGCTCTTTTGGTGTTTGTTTTTATGCAACAGAATATTAATTTAAAGGGGAGGTGAATGAGAATCCTTAAAATAAGCCTTGCCTCAGACACAACTGGCTGAACACCCTTTCTTTCCTGACTGACCTCTGAGTTTCTCAGGGAATCCTTCAAATCCTCCTAATTCCTCAAGACCTTCACTGCCTCTTTTGCTGTTTTTACTGAACTGTTTTTTTTTTTGTTTTGTTTTGTTTTGTTTTTTTTGAGATGGAGTTTCGCTCTTGTTACCCAGGCTGGAGTGCAATGGCGCCATCTCGGCTCACCATAACCTCCGCCTCCTGGCTTCAGGCAATTGTCCTGCCTCAGCCTCCTGAGTAGCTGGGATTATAGGCACGCGCCACCATGCCCAGCTAATGTTTGGTATTTTTAGTAGAGATGGGATTTCACCATGTTGACCAGGATGGTCTCGATTTCTTGACCTCGTGATCCACCCGCCTCAGCCTCCCAAAGTGCTGGGATTACAGGCTTGAGGCACCGCGCCCGGCAGACTGGACTGTTTTAATACTTAGAAAGCAAGTTACATTTTATTCGTATCCTATGCCAGTTTCTCAACTGCAGCACTATGGACAGTTTGGGCCAGATCATCCTCTGTGGTGGGGCTGTGCTGTGCATTATAAGATGCTGAGCACCATCTCCGGGGTCTATCATTAGATTCCAGTAGCACCATGCTACTTGCCAAATTGCGGCAAGCAAAATGTTTCTTAAAACACTGACACATGTTCCCTGCAGGGCAAAATTGCTTTTGTTTGAGAATCACCGGCCTATGCTGTGCCTTTTAGCATCTGCTTTGAGCTTTTCAGTTGCAGTACAATGTCCTACAATAGAAAGGAGTTGGGCATTGTTGACGCTGTCAAATTGCACAACTCTCTGTAAACGGTATTTGCTGCAGTTGTGTTGTGGGCAGCCTTGGACTTTGATCCACACATATCGGAGTTGGCTTTTTTCACTGACCAGTGGGAATTCACATGTGGCTCATAGGGTGGTTTTATGTGTGCATCTCGAAACACCTTGACTGCCATGTAGCACATCCTCAACAAATGGTCGTTACATGATTACTTCATTTTGGTTCTTAGTAAGTGGAGGCCCTTGAATAGAAGAGGCTGCCCGTTCTTTGTTGTATCCAGCCCTCTCTCCAGCCCAGGTGCCTGGTACTCACTCACTGCCTGATTGACTTGTCTTACTTTTAGCTTATAGGCTTTACACTGTGGTGCCTCGCCTTGTCAAGTTTGTAGATATTCTCCCCAATTGGTATATTAGAATGAACCGCAGAAGATTAAAGGTAAGTGCAGACTGCTGTTGAGAAAAGCAGAAAGCACATGAAGTTTGAGAGTAGAAGAAATATGAGAATAGCCCAAAGGGAAAGGAACATTTTCAGATGCTCTCAGTTTTTGAAGCTATGCTTTTCTTCTCTTTTTACCTTGCATTTTAACTGTATTTGCCATTTGAGGCATAGGGATCTATAAGTTCTAAAAGTCATTTTGCATTTTTTTCACAACACAGTTACGTACATATATATTGGACGGAGAATGTCAGGGCACGAACCGGACTAAACTGAGCAGACCTCTTAACATTCGAAATAAAATCATGCAAATATTTTATTAAAATATTGCCAGGTATGGCTTTAATATTGAGAGGGATACTGCCTTGCATTTACCACAAGGGAGTCGGTTATTTGGCTGTGGGCAGAACTCCTGTGTAGCTGTTGGGGGTTTAGGATGAACAGAGCATAGGTCCTGGTCTCAGGAATTAAGCAGGGTACATAAATAACAATGACGTATAACAGGGAGAGCCAAGTCTCTTTACCGTAGGCCCAGTAAAGGCTCCCACCACCCATTAGTCATGTCTTTTTTTTTGAGACAGAGTTTCATTCTTGTCACCCAGGCTGGAGTGCAATGACAGGATCTTGACTCACTGCAGCCTCTACCTCCCAGGGTCAAGTGATTCTCCTGCCTCAGTCCCCTGAGGAGCGGAGATTACAAGTGTGTGCCACCACGCCCATCTAATTTTTGTATTTTTAGTAGAGGCAGGTTTTACCATGTTGGCAAGGCTGGCCTTGAACTCCTGACTTTATGTGACCCACCTACCTCAGCCTCTCAAAGTACTGGTATTACAGGCATGAGCCGCCACATGCAGCCAGTCATGGCTTAAAATGCATTAATAATAAAACCTTGCAACACAACTATAATTTTGTTTCTGTGCAGGTGTATCTCACACACACATCTAGAACATATGCTAAGATGTGTACAGTAGTTATCTCTGGATAACTTATTCATGGTTGAAATTTTTTCATTATCTTCGTTTTTCCTACAATGAATTAGTTTTTTTTAATAACACAGTATATACTCTTTTAACATAAAATATCTTATTTAAAGGCACTTGAAAGTTTTCAGTTAGCAGCTGTTTCTGTCTGTTTTGGGTAGATCCATTCTGCCCTCAGCCTTTTGGTCCTACAGTTAGGCTTCACTTTCCTGTCGGCTCGCCTCAGGTGGGGATAGAGGGATAGCAGCTGCACGTCCTGGCTGAGCTTCCTGCACTGCCTTGCAGGGCCACCCTAGACAGCCTGTGGTGGTGGCCCTTTCTTCTTACTCTGCCTCGTGTCCCGTCTATGTGCTGCATGCTGTTTGAGGGTTGCCTCTTTTTAATCAACTTTTTTTTTATAATAAACGCTTAATTTTAGCAGTCTGAAGTTTATGTTTCCTTTTTACTCATTAGGGTGAAAATGGGATGGAAGATTGTGTCATGGCCCTAGAAACCTGGTTTAGTGTTCTGCTCTCTCTTTGCAGACTTATGGTAAGATGGTTGGCTTCTCTCTAGTACCCTTTGGCCTGCATGCTGCCTTCAGTACCCAATTGCTGCAGCGTCCTCCTTTTATATCTATTCTCTGTTATTCCACCAAAAACAGAAATAGATGTTTTGTAACAGCTTATAGCTGTAGTTTCTTTTCAGAAATCTTACTAGCTTCTGCATGTTAAGTGAGGACTAAGAAACAGTAGAGTTTTTCTTGCAATCTCTGGTAGTATAGTGTATGTCAGGGCCCTTGGCTCGAGAAGGAGGATCTACAGTTCGAAGTAAGACATACCTCGTCTTAATATATGGATCGGCATAATTGCGAATAATGGGGAAGTTCTTTAGCTAATACCTGTCGTAGCAAATATATCATAAAAAATACTTTGACTTAGCGTTGAAAGGAAAACGTGCAAGTAATTGTTCGATATATGTTCCTATCAGTTCAAATATTAAATAATATAAAAGTGGAAAGGCTCCAACTTGCTTTTTATCCTGTTTCTGCTACTCCGTATATTATAAGGCTCCTATTTATTCCTTAACTGAAGGAAAATCTGCTGAGTACAAGGTCCTGTGCCTGATCCTCTCCATGCCTGATCTCATCACCTTCATCCCGTGAAGCAGGGGGTGTTTTCCCCAGTTTACAGATGAGGTTTCTGAGGTTTGGGACAGTCAGTCCTCTGTGCATATTGACTTGGCTGATATATCATTAGGTGCTCCTGTTTCTATTTTAGACATCCTTCAGAATTCTGGAGATGCTTCGGCTGGTTTTTCTGGCCACAGTCCTACAGCTATGCTTCAGGGCTGTGAGGCCATTTCTCATTCATAGGGCATGTTTTGTAACCTCATGCCCATTTCAGTGCATATTACTGTGTCGCTAACATGTTTAGTTGTTTCTCAGTATAAATGAGGTCAGTCGTTGATGACTGCACATGACTGACATGATGGCCTGTGTCTTCCTACAGGCTCCCTACACGCCTTTTCTCACTGAATTGACGTACCAGAATCTAAAGGTGCTGATTGACCCTGTTTCTGTTCAAGACAAGGACACACTCAGCATCCAGTGCCTCATGCTGCCCTGTGTTCGGTAGGAATCAGAAAATTTAAGTCTCACCTGTGCCATGGAGGGAGCGTTGCTCAAGCATGTGGAGGAGAGGAGGCATTTATTTCCCTGTTCCAGCTCCCTCTGTGCCCTGCCTCCCACCCTAGCCCCCAGTTGACATGAACTCCTCCTCAGGCTGCACGATGGGGCCCACAGTGGTACATGGTAACAGGGATGCTTGGTAGGGAACCCCGTTGCAGAGCTGTAGCATGTGGGGTGTGGGCATGCCCCATGGGGGCCACTTGGGGAGGTGCCGGGTGCTGAGGCAGGCTCGGGCTGCCGCCTCCTCCTCTGTCCCCCAGGCGGGCACTTCATTGTTCTTCCCCTTGCGCCTCATCAGGTGGGCCTGGCGACACTTGTGTAGCCTGACCCTCTTCCTCATGTAAGCATGCCTAATGTCTTGCATTTTCCTTTTAAATCTAATCTGTTTCATATTCCTACCTCTACCACTCAGAGAAGAATTGATTGATAAGAAAACAGGGAGTGCAGTATCTCGGATGCAGTCTGTGATTGAACTTGGACGAGTGATCAGAGACCTCCAAACTATTCCCATAAAGGTTTAAAATTTCACTTCTATTTTACATGGCACCGACCTAAATATTTAAGTCTTTGGGGTGTTCTCTTAATATAGAGAGCTTCCAGCAATGGCCTTTTTTCTTTTCTGCAGTGAGGGTGTAAATGACTTAGTACTAGTCCAGCCTGACTAGTCTAGAGCTTGAGGTTCAAATGAACATTTAATATTCATTTTTCTGCAGTTTAGAGGACTGGCTGCTGAGTGACCTTTCCTCTCCCTTTTCCTCCTAGTATCCTTTGAAAGAAATTGTGATTATCCATCAAGATCCAGAAGCTCTTAAAGATATCAAGTCTTTGGAGAAGTATGTCATTGAGGTAAGATGGATGATTTGTCTGTTTTGGGTACAAATAGACCTCCCTTGAGAACATTATTTTGATGAATAATCTTGAATAAAGTACACAGTGTGTAATTTATTTTTATTAATATATTCATAACAAATTTAACAATGTATGATATTTTACACTGTTCTTGGAATCAACATAAATTTGATGTAATTATTTTAAAAATGTTTTAGGATCAATCAGTTTTTTTACCTGTCACCTATCATCTTCATTCACATCTCTTCCCTGAAGTACTTTTCTTTTCTTTTTTGAGACAGAGTGTCTCTCACTCTGTCACCTAGGCTGGAGTGCAGTGGTGCGTTACCACAACCCCCACCTCCTAGGTTCAAGCGATTCTCCTGCCTCAGCCTCCCGAGTATCTGGGACTACAGGCACTGCCACCACGCCCAGCTAACTTTTGTATTTTTAGTAGAGGTGGGGTTTCACCATGTTGGCCAGGCTGGTCTTAAACTCCTGACCTCAAGTGATCTGCCCACCATTGCCTCCCAAAGTGCTGGATTACAGGCATGGGCCCCACTTCGCCTGGCCTTCTGAATTACTTTTTGATAACTACCAAAGAAACTTTGCTCGTCCAAATTATACAAGTGACAAGTGCCCTCACGTTGGTTATAAATAATCAAGGCACTAGCGTAGTGAGCCTCTTTCCACTTCATCTCTCCTGGAGTCTCACTTTCTGGCTGCTTCATAATTTATATAGTTACTCTCCTGTTGTTTGAAATTTAGGTTTCTGATTACAAACAAAAGCTACGTATGTACATATATGCATATATCACTGTGTGGATATTGGGTAGATACCAGAAGTGGAGTTTTGGGGTCAAAGTTTAAATTATAGTGTCAGTTGACTTCCTAAACATCTTTATTCCATGATTTTTAAAAAACGAATAACATTTTACCTCATCTTCTTTATGATGATAGAAAACAAATTTTTTTTTTCATTGTTTATTTGGTTCACAGGTAATACTTAAAATCATTATTGTAAAAAATATTAATTTCTGTATTTGGTTTTCAGTTGCTTGAGAATTCCAGAGAAATATTAGAAACTAAAAGTTAGATTGTAAATTCTGAAATGAGTGCCTGTGGTTATGCATAAAATAGGATTTTTTTTTTTTTTTTGAGACAGGGTCTCATTCTGTCACCCAGGCAGGAGTGCAGTGATGTGATCTTGGCTCCTACAACCTCCATCTCCTGGGCTCGGGCAATCCTCCCACCTCAGTCTCCCAAATAGCTGAGATTAGGCGTAGTAGTACAGGCTTTTGTACAGATGGGGTTTGACCACGTTACCCGGGCCAGTCTCTAACTCCTGAGCTCAAGCAGTCCTCCCACCTCAGCCTCCTGAAGTGCTGGGATTACAGGTGTGCGCCACTGAAAACATTTTAAATAAATTACTTCAGTCACTTAAAATGAGATTAATTAACGTAGCTAAATAGAATGGCAAAACTAAACATTCCATAGTATTTGCTTCAAACTATTGTTCTCATGAGATCTCATTTTCCCATCTGCTGTGCCATCACCATCCCTGCTGCATCAGTAATCCTCAGTAGCGTGACTGAAGCATGAAGTCTTCTGTTTAACTGATTCTTCTTCTTTGTTGATAGTTAAGCTTGTGGTACTCTGAAATTGCTTGCACAAAGGTTACCTCTGAGGGATGAGGTTTTTATTTCTGGTTCTGTAGTCCTTTTTCTGTTATGCTCAACTGTCTCGGTAGATCTTCATAAGAAACATTTTTTTCTTACCATACAAGTCACTGGTTTTTAAGCATATTTATAGAATTGTACAACCATCACCAGTTTTAGAACATTTTCATCATTCCAGAAAGAAACTCGGTGTTCATTAGCATTCACACACCATTTTCCCCTCAATACCTGACCACTTCCCAGCATCCATGAACCTATTTGCTGTCTCTGGGTTTGCCTTCTGTGGATATTTCTTATTAGTGGAATCACAATTTGTAATTTTTATGTCTGGCATATTTCAGCTAGCATAATGTTTTACATTAATTTATGTTATAGCATGTATGAGTGCTTCAGTCCTTCATATTGCTAAATATTTCATTTGCATGTGTCTACAGTATTATTTTATCCATTCATGGTTGATGGACACTTGAACTGTTCTTACTTTCCAGCTGATGGGAATAATGTTGCTGTGGACATATGTTTTTATGTCAACATACGTTTTCATTTATCATTTTTGTTTCCTCTTGTGCAATAACTATAGAAATTGAATGTTCGAAAAGTTACACTGTCTACAGATGAAAACAAGTATGGCATTCAGCTAAGAGCAGAACCAGATCACATGGTCCTGGGGAAGCATCTGAAGTGAGCCTTTAAGGCAGTGATGACATCCATCAAGCAGCTGAGCAGTGAGGAGCTGGAGCAGTTCCAGAAAACTGGTAGGTTTCTATACAGACAAGGGCACACCATTCATGTACTCAGGCTGAGGGATATTTTGTATTTACGTTATTGTTTGACTTTAAAATTACGTTCTTTTGGTTGTATTTTCTTTTTTTTGAGATGGAATCTCACTCTGTCGCCCAGCCTGGAGTACAGTGAGTACAGTGGCACAGTCTTAGCTCACTGCAACCTCTGCCTCCCAGGTTCAAGCGATTTTCCAGCCTCAGCGTCCCGAGTAGCTGGAATTACAGGCATGTGCCACCACACCTAGCTAATTTTTGTATTTTTAGTAGAGATGGTATTTTGCCATGTTGGCCAGGCTGGTCTCGAACTCCTAATCTTAGGTGATCCACCTGCCTCAGCCTCCCAAAGTGCGGGATTATAGGTGTGAACCACTGCACTGGGCCATCCTTTTCTTAAATAAAACTTTTTTTCTGTTCATAAAAATATTTATTATTATATATATATATTTTTTTTTTTCCTTGAGATGGAGTCTCACACTGTTGCTGGGTATGACAGTGGCATGATCTCTGCTCACTGCAACCTCTACCTTCCAGGTTCAAGCAATTCTCCTTGCCTCAGCCTCCTAAGTAGCTGGGATTACAGGCACCTGCCACCTTGCCCAGCTTTTTTTTTTTTTTTTTTTGGTGTGGGTGTTTTTTTTTTTTTAGTAGAGGCAGGGTTTCTCTATGTTGGCCAGGCTGGTCTTGAAATCCTGATCTTATGATCTGCCTGCATCAGCCTTCCAAAGTGCTGGGATTACAGGTGTGAGCCACTGCACCTGGCCGTAAGTAATTTTTATGATTTAGAAAGAAAACAGCTGGGTACAGTGGCTCACACCTGTAGTCCTAGCACTTTGGAAGGCCCAGGTGGGCAGATCACTTGACATCACTACAGGCACATATTAACGACAGTTGGGTGTGGTGATATGCACCTGCTATCCCAGTTACTTTGAGGGCTGAGGTGGGAGGATCCCTGCAGCCTAGGATAATTTTTGTCCTTACTCTCATGGTGCTCGCTGACATTAAAGATTTGGGAAAATCATTATGGTTTTGATAAATGCTATAAAGGGAAAATATAGGGTAGCATAAAAACATGTATCGGGGTACCTAACCAAATGATGGGATTAGGAAAGGGAAATTAGCCCCATCTCGCCACCCCTCTACAGAGCATTTCAGGGTGCCCAAAAATTTGCAGCTGTGCTGTGATTAGAATCATAACATGGTTTGAGTGTGGCTGTCTGACATCCTGCGGCTATTTGGGGCACAAGCTGTTCATTATTAGGAATTCCTCTGAAGTTGAAAATCGTAAGCTGGGAGATATCATGAGAAGAGAGATTTAAGGATTCATAAATCAGATGAATGGCTAAGGAAATTGGGGGAAATGTCCCTAAGATTCTTCAAATATTTAGATATAATAAAAACATAAGACATTAGCAGCTAGAACTCGTTATTTTTAATTACTAATCAACTCAAAATATTAAAATAGAAAACTTACAAACCTTGAAGTCACAAATCTAAATTGTTTCACCAGATAGCCACAGCATCAAAAATTTCTGAAGTCAACGTTATTTGAAATTGAAAGCCTAGTTTCTAAATTTTAGTTTCTGAGTAAACTGTTCTGCACTGATGAAAACAAAATCGTTTTTTGGAACACAGTGACAAAGTAAACATAAACATAACACAAGTTCTCAGAGCCCAAAAAAGTCATTATCGATGACAACAGTGGGTCTCCCTGTCGCAGTGGGTGTTGTCCTCAGCAGCTGTGCACATGTCTGCCTCCCTGAGCAGGGGTGATGCTCAGTACTACACACTGCCTGTCTCATTTTAGCCTCACCACACCTTGCTCAGCATGTCATGCAACCAGCTAATAGTGGACCTAAGTTCACTTTAAAGACTGTGTTTCCTTCATTACATCCTGCTGCTCTGTGTTTATGGTGAGCATTTGTTACCTCTAGGTGCCTTCCCTTAGCCTTGTCATGTCTGTGGACCTGAGAGTTTATGTAAAACTTGATATTGGTGATGACTTAACTGTCTTCAAGGTAGTGTAGTGTAGTCCAAAGAAAGTTTGTCGTATCTTGGCCACAACCATGACATGAGTCAGAGGAAAATGTTCTCTTGAAACCTCTGTGGCTTTGCCGTTGCGAAATTTTTATAAAGAAGGGGCATAATACACGGGTAGTGGCACAGCTTGAAGAAGAAGGGAAGCTGATTAACAGGGTATCTGCTTCTCCATAGGGACCATTGTTGTGGAAGGCCATGAATTGCATGACGAAGACATCCGCCTCATGTACACCTTTGATCAGGCCACAGGTGGGACTGCACAATTTGAAGCACACTCAGATGCTCAGGTATTTTTCTGTTTCCTAAAACATTTCTTTACCAAGAGATGATAGCATAAGAGGAGAAAGCATTTGCCTGTGCCTTTCCTGATAATGTTGACAGTTTGTCTCAGGGTAAAATAAACCAGTTACTTGGTTTAGGTTGCCTTTGTTAAACTAATATATCATTGTGCCTTTAACACATGCATTTGTTTAATGAATACATAAGTATCTTGTGCTTTCTCCATGTAATTGTCTCACGCGTGGGGTTGCACAAAAATGAACCCTTCACGCTGGGCGTGGTGGCTCACACCTGTACTTCCAGCACTTTGGAAGCCGAGGCAGGCAGATCACGAGGTCAGGAGATCGAGCCCAGCCTGGCTAAGATGGTAAAACCCAGTCTGTGTTAAAAATACAAAAAATTAGCCGGGCATGGTGGCACGTGCCTATAGTCCCAGCTACTCAGGAGGCTGAGGCAGGAGAATCACATGAACCTGGGAGGCAGAGATGGCAGTGAGCCGAGATTGCACTACTGCACTCTGGCCTGGGCAACAGAGGGAGACTCTTGTCTTAAAAAAAAAAAAAAAGTGAACCTTTCAAGGAGTTAGTCAAGAACATATGAAATTAAGCCACTGCTTAGTATTCTACCTGATAAGTTACTGGTAGAAATAAGTACACAGAGAGCTCCTATCCAAAAATTGGTGTAGAGGTGAAAGTGGTCAGGAAACACTCCTTGAAGAGAATATTCAGGCTGTTTTTTATTCTGGTGTCAATATTTTTTGCCATGATGGAAAAGAGACTAACTCCTTGCAATCTTGACCAGATATCCCCAGTTGGCATAGTTGTAAGATCTCGCGTGTGGGATTGGGGATATCTGTGCTTAGCATACCATTTGCAGGGGGAGGGTAGAGCAGCACCTCCGTGAAAGGAAGGTCGACCTCCTCAGTCCTTTACCCAGGCGCTTAAGTTAGATGTGTACAGAACTCCCCGTGGGCAGACAGTGGCAAGGAGTCAGAGGTATCGAAGCTGGGAAAGAATGCAAGGGAAGGCAGGGAGGAGGTTTGTAAACACTTGACAGTGGGCAGTTCTTCCTCGTTACAACAGATGTTAGGGGCCTGAAAAGTTGTCCACACTTAAAAAGTGTGATCATGTGATGCTACTGAGTTTCTTGACGTGGCTTAGATGTTGTAGTGGGCTTGGTAGCCCTGCACTGAGTGGAGTTTTGAGTTTATCATTCATTTCATTACCTCTGATGCCTTTGTGAAGTGAGTCATTTCTTAACTTCTGTTTTTGCTCAAAGATAGATGATGCCTAATTTACAAGTCTTTTGTAGAGTGTATTCTACTCTGCAATGTGCTGTGTAACAGAAGTGGTGGTGTCATTATTGCTATATCATAATCAATAACCTTCAGAATAAATAGAAACATTAACCTTAGCAAAAATATGGCAGTTTAAATTAAGTCAAAAGTTTTGTGGTTCATTGTAGAATTGGTCTTTTGTCATTCTGACAAACCTAAAGATCACAGGGGTCATGGTATAAGAAAGTCACTTGGAGTTGACTGCTGTGAGGCCTTTGGTCCACCTGTTGTGGCCTGAAAAGCTGTGCTGCTCCGAGGGCTTCGTGATTATTGATCTTACTTATAAGAAGAGTTGATATTATTTCTTAGATGGCCGAAAAGCAGAGTCATGTGAGGGACTCAAGAGGTGGTTTCAGGGCATTTCCTGTGAGCAGCACCCTACAAAAAAAGAAGGAACAAAAAGCTGCACACCTTTCTCCAGAGACAGAGGACTGGCTGGTTATGAAGACGCACCTGGATAATAAACTAGATTAATTCTATTGCTTTTGCTCATTTGTGTGAACACATAGTGCTTCATTAAAGAGTCTCCAGATTAAGTTTTAAATGGCATTTTGCTGAGTTGGGAAGAAGTGTTTCTCCTATTTGATTGTCATGGTGTGGTATGCACTGTTCATTCCCACAGACTGTGGTCCTCTTAGATGTCACTCCTGACCAGTCAATGGTGGATGAAGGAATGGCTCAGGAAGTCATCAATCGCATACAGAAACTTCGCAAAAAGGTTAGTTTGTCAGTTAACAAAAAGCTACTGTTTTGGCATTTTGGTTGTTGGGGGAAGATAGGAGAGGCAGGTAATACAAACCGTAGTGATCAGTGCATGATAGTCACTGATGTACAGTCTGTTTAGATTGTATTCTGCAGGAAAGTCACTCCTCTTCCCCTCCCCACATGTTCAATCCCAAGCTGTAGCTTTCAGCCAACCTGTGCTTTTTTCCATTCTTTTTTAGTTCCATTGAGCTTCTGTGATATAGCCCCTGTGACTGGGGCAGAGGTAATCAGAGATGATAGTGTCTTTGCAGAAGGGCAGAGCTGCAGTCAGCATAGACAGGCTTCTAGCTTAGGGGAGGTTCCTGGGTCTGGACAGAGTGGGGTAGTTTTTCCTCATTAGAGAACTGAGGAATACACACAGTGCTCATCCTGGAGAGCCGAGCGAGGGGCTGCCAAGCCCCTGCCAGTGAGAGAATCAGGAATTTCTTGCCCTGCAGAGGGCAGTGACAGCTGCCACACGTCTTGCTTCCCAGGCGGTTCAGGATCTGAGGAGGCTGTTCCAGCAGATAAGAGGGTGCTTGTGACCTCTGAATCAGTTCAGAACTTTGTTAAGTGGATTCTGAGTTATTTCTTGGTTTCAGCATTCATGAGGCACTGATTGTGTCAGGAAAAGAAACATGCCCTATCCCCAAAGATGGGGGAAAGGACACAAAGGTAATCCTGTACTGCAGTGCAGTTAGTCTCATAGATCACCCAGCAGGGAGGGACGTGTGACTGCCCTTCTGTGATGATTCAGCATGGGATCCGTAGCCCTTCTTCAACAGTACCTTCTTTAAGTTCTGATTAATAGAATGTACTTTCCTTTTAAAATTTTATGTGTGTGCTTTCAGTGCCATCTGGTTCCAACTGATGAAATCACAGTGTATTACAACGCAAAGTCTGAAGGAAGATACCTGAATAACATTATTGAAAGCCACACAGAGTTTATATTTGCCACCATAAAGGCTCCCTCGAAACCATATCCAGTTCCTCCTTCAGATAAAATCCTTATTCAAGAAAAAACACAGGTGAGTGCTGAGTTCCACTGAACTGCCAAAAGGTTTCAGATTAGGTTTACCTTATGTACTCGCGTGTGGATATTCTGTCCCCCGGTAGAGATTGGCACAGCACTCAGTCTTGAGGTCTTGCTCTGGACAATAGTGGGTGGAGCTAGAGAGTGGAAGCTCAGAAAAGATGGAGGGAGGATAGAAGGCAGAACTGTTCTCACAACAGTTCTCTTGAGGAAGGTAGCCAGGAGAGTAGATGAGCTTTGCCCAGAAATAAAATGGCTGTGTGGGCCTGTTTTTCTAAAACTGGCAAAGTCAGTGTGTGGATTCTGGTAATTATCATTAAAAGTAAACAGCAATAGGCTTGAAAAACATTTAGTTCTTCAGGTAGTGGGTTCTCCATAACATTACAATACCAAAAAAGAAAAAATCACAATAGCATTTTCTGTTGTTATATCTAGGAATTTTAGATATGCTTATGAAAGTCGGATATTAAGGTAGGGAAGATACGGGCTTATAACTTACAAGTAGATCGTTTAGGCCAGGCGCAGTGGCTCATGCCTGTAATCGCAGCTACTCGGCAGGCTGAGGCGGGAGAATCGTTTGAACATGGGAGGTGGGGGCTGCCGTGAGCCGAGATCACATCACTGCTTGGGTGACAGAGCAAGACCCTGTCTCAAAAAAAAAAAAAAAAAGGTAGATCATTTAAAACATATCTCAGTCACTTACTTAGTTATTTTCTCCTGTCTCGTTATTTCTATGGGACAAGGAGGACAAGACAAGAAGGGGCTGACCGTGGCCATTTATATTTTCAGTGAGGCGAGTTGTAATGTAGTTTCATTTTCTGTTTTGCATATTGTGTAATTTTTTTACTTTTTTTTAAGTGAGCATATATTTTTAAGAGAGCAGAATAAAAGGCGAAAAAAAGGGTTATAAATTGTAGCTTTTGACTCTTTGAGTAACGAGATTGAGTATGTTCTCAGTTGTACACTGTAGGACCTAGGACCCCACAGAGTCGTGAGGTTTGTCTCATGCTGTTCTGAGTCACAGGAGCAGAGAAATAAAGAGACAGGACACAGAAGTACAAGGAAAACGCAGCTGGGCTCGGGGCCACGCCACCTGTAAGTGGAGTCAGGCGAGGACCCGAATGTCCAGAAGCATGAGTGTTCATTGTGTATAGGTTAGGAGGCAGGGCAGTGAGTGAAATCATCTTGAAGGATAGTGATAGGGTCGTGAGCAATAAAACATGGGGTCCACCCCCATTCGGTCACCTAGGCCAGGAGGTGGACAGTGCGCAGCAAGGGGCCTGTTCCCATGAAGGCAAGGGCCGTGTGCAGTAAGGGGTCCACCCCCATTAGGTCACCGAGGCTTGAAGGAGGGCCGTGTGCAGTGAAGAGGGTGTAGTGTGCAATACTTCTATCTACGGGCAAACAACTTCTAAGAAGATTTATAGGAGGATGCTTTAAGTCACGTAGCAGTGACAGTTGTCAAGGTGGAATGGCTCATGCCTGTAATCCCAGCACTTTGGGAGGCCAAGGCAGGTGGATTACTTGAGGTCAGGAGTTTGAGACTGTTCAGTACCAGCCCCAGCCCCATTCATTGGTGCCCTTAGTCCTGGTGGTTGGCCCCAAGCTCTGGGCTCCAAACACTTTTATTATGTGCATAATTCATTGATCTTATGGGTGTGGAAGGGGAGGGTGAAGGGGTAGGTAAGATGGTGGGGAGTACTTGAGATGCTTCTAAGACATGCTAAACTAGTGCTCTGATTGTTAGCAGGGTACAGCTGCGTCAGAAGCCTGGCACGAGGAGCCACCCTGTCTGACCCCACCCAATGCATCAAGGGGCTTTTATCTCCTGAACATTGAGGGCATAGAGCAATTAAAACCATTCCATATTCCAAGAACCTAGGCAGAGGTGGAGGTGTTCCATAATCTCTTACCTGCAAGGCTTTTCTCCTCCTTGCCAGCTCCCATCTACAAAGACCCTCCCAGATCTTGTGAGCAGGGGTTGCCTCCCTTCTCAGAGATCTTTGCATAAGCCCTCTTTACCAGACCCTCATACATTCTCCCATGTTGAGAAGGCATTCGTAGGACTAGAGCAGTATTGCCTGCTCTGCAACCACCCTGTTGTTTCCTGGTGTTACTTTGCTCTCAGGTGGTCTTTATAACCTTAGACCTCCTGTTGCTGCTTGATTTCTAATTAACTGCACCAATAATATAGTTTAGTTTGGTACATAAACAAGTGTACTTTGAACCAAACAAGCTTATAATTATTTAGCTATATTTAACATAGGTCTCCCCCTGGCCATCTTGACCCACAGAGACTAGCCTGACCAACATGGTAAAACCCGGTCTCTACTAAAAATCCAAACATTAGACAGGTGTGGTGCTGGGCACCTGTAATCCCAACTACTTGGAAGTGTGAGGCATGAGAATTGCTTCAATCTGGGAGGTGGAGGTCACAGTGCGCTGAGATATTTTTCGTCAATAACTGCTCTACTCTAGCCAGACACCATGGAAAAAACTATGGTCCCATCACCACCCATACCAGCAAAGGCCAATTAGGTAACCTGGCCTTGACCCTTGCCAAGCTGAAGACCCCCCTGTCACAGGGGTATCAGAGAAGACCAAGTAGGGAGTTGGGACTTTCATCCTAGTGGGGCAGTAATGAGTCCCTCTGCCCAGTGGTGTCAGTGGAGGCCACATGGGAAGCCTGGATTTCTGTCTTCTTTGGGCTGTAACAGGGCATCCCTCCCATTCACAAATGCATGGCAGCAGTGAGACCACATACTACCAGCACCTCCTCTGCGGTGTCAGTAAAGGTATGCGTGAAACCCAAACAGGATAAAGCCAAGAGAATCCACATCAACATATATCATAACCAAACTTCTGAAAACCGAAGACAAAAAAATGTCTTGTATGCAGTGAAAGATATAACACCTAACGTAGAGGGGAAGAACAATTCAAATGATACTGGATTTATCATTAGGAACCACAGAGGCCAGAAAAAGAAAAGGCGGCATTTTTCAAGTGCTGAAAGATAAGTACTGTCTACCAAGAATTCTGTATCAATCAGACATATCCTTCAGGATGATGGGAACATCAAGACATTCTCAAATGAAAGAAAACTAAAAGAATTTATTGGCAACAGTCCGGTCCTAAAAGTAGCCGAAGGAAGTTCTTAACACAGAAAGGAAATAATAAAGGGGAATCCAGAAACATCAGGAAGGAAAAATGGAAAATGAAAATAGAGGATAATTCAATTGACTTTCATTCCTCTCATGGGTACAACAAGCACTGTATCGTTTTTTGATGTGATTCTCTGTGTCTGTACACTGAGGCCTGAACATCACCAGTGGGTTCTTGGGTCCTGCAACTAAGTGAAAGGATGTACTGTGTGCCATGGGAACTTAACTCCTGTGGTAAAGTTGGTTTATTATACAGTACATCATTCTGCTTAAAGTCACAGTTTCCAAGAACCTACCAGCAACATTACGTAAGGACTTACTGAACATATGATAGTTAAGACAGTTACAAAGGAGACCAGTTTTCTACATGTATCACAAACTGGTAAACAACTGACACCAATGAACCTTAGGAAGTTATGTTTATATTAGGTACTACTTGGAGTTACCAGTAAGAAAAGACTATACCCCAGGATACATAGAAAACCCTAGAAAAATAAAAAATGGAATTCTAAAATATGTTTAAGTAACTGTGGTAGTCCATTTTTCTTTTTTTCTTTTCTTTTTTTTTTTTTTTTTTTTTTTTGAGATGGAGTTTCGCTCTTGTTACCCAGGCTGGAGTGCAATGGCGCGATCTCGGCTCACCGCAACCTCCGCCTCCTGGGTTCAGGCAATTCTCCTGCCTCAGCCTCCTGAGTAGCTGGGATTACAGGCACGCGCCACCATGCCCAGCTAATTTGTTGTATTTTTAGTAGAGACGGAGTTTCCCCATGTTGACCAGGATGGTCTCGATCTCTTGACCTCGTGATCCACCCGCCTCGGCCTCCCAAAGTGCTGGGATTACAGGCTTGAGCCACCGTGCCCGGCCGGTAGTCCATTTTTCATTGCTATAAAGGAATACCTGAGGCTGGATAGTTCGTAAAGAAAGTTGATTTGGCTCACAGCTCTGCAGGCTGTACAAGAAACACGGCACCAGCATCTGCTTCTGGTGGGGGCCTCGAGAAGCTTTTACTCTGCTTTACAGGAGGTGAAGTGGGAGCAAGTGTATCACATGGTGAGAGAGGGAGCAAGATAGAAGCCAGGCTCTTAAACAACCAGCTATCGCATGAATGAACAGAGTGAGAGCTCATTACTGCAACAAGGCTACCAAGCCATTCATGAGGGATCTGTCCCAGTGACCCAAACACCTCCTACTAAGCGCCACTTTTCAACATTGAGGATCACATTTCAACATGAGATTTGGAGGGGAACAAACATCCAAACTCTATCAGTAACCCACAAGAAGCTAGGAGAGAAAACAATCAGAACAAGTACGCCAGGCACAGTGGCTCATGCCTGTAATCCCAGCACTTTGGGAGGCCGAGACGGGCAGATCACCTGAGGTCAGGAGTTCAAGACCAGCCTGGCCAACATGATGAAACCCCACCTCTACTAAAAATGCAAAAATTAGCCAGGCATGGTGGCAGGTACCTGTAGACCCAGCTACTCAGGAGGCTGATGCAAGAGAGTTGCTTGAACTAGAGAGGCAGAGGGTTGTAAGTGAGCCAAGATCACGCCACTGCACTCTAGACTGGGTGACAGAGCGAGACTGTGTCTCAAAACAAACAAACAAACAAAAAAGAACAAAAGATTGGCAGAATTATTACAAACACATTAGCCAAATATGTGCTGTCTGGAAGAAACTTTAATGATACAGGTGAGTTGAAAGTAAAAGGGTAGAAAAATATATACCATGCAAACAGTAATCAAAAGAAGCAGGAATGGTCATGGTTGTATTAGATGAAACAGACTTCAGAGCAGAGAAAATTACCAGGGGCATTAAATAATGATAGACATGTCAGTACACAAAGAAAACAGAGTGACCCTAAATTTATATGCATCTAACAAAGGAGCCACCAAATACGTGAAATAAAAAGATACAAACATTAAAGAAGAAATAGACAAATCCACAACTATAGTTGGAGACTTCAGCATACCTTTTGCAGTAATCAATAGACCACTTAGTACACCTCACCCAAAAATAGCAGAATATAAATTATTTTCGAGCTCTCACAGAACTTAGATACATTATAACCTGGGCCATAAAGCAAACCTCCACCAATTAGTAGAGTTGAAATCAGAGTGTGCTATCTGATCACAGTAGAATCAAACAATTAGTAGTAGAACAATAAAAGGAAAATCTCCACACTCTCAAAAATGAACAACATACTTTTAAATTATCCGTGATTAGGGAAGAAGTCTCAAGAGGAAAAAAACACAGAACTAAGTGAAAAGGAAAATATGACGTCAAAATATGTGGCATGTGGCTAAAGCAGTCCTGAGAGGGAAATCTGTTCTACTAAAATCTGAAAGAAAGATGGTTTTAAATCATAGTAAGGTCTAAACTCAAGAAACTAGATAGGAAAGAAAATAAAATAAATGCAAAGTAAGAAGGAAAGAAATGAAGAGAAGAAATCAGTGCAATTGAAAATAGGAAAATGAGAGAAAATATGATACAAAAATCTAGTTCTTACCAAAAAATTCAGGAAAATTAATCTCTAGTGAGACTAATAAAAGGGAAAGAAAACACAGTTGCATATCAGGAATAAAAAGAATTATCAGTGCAGACTGCAGAAATCAAGAAGATACACAAATACTATGAATAAATCTCCGTATGTAAGTCTCACAACTGAGATGAAGCAAACCAATTTTTGTTTTCTTTCTTTGAGACAGGGCCTCACTCTGTCTCCCAGTGCGGCATGCAGTGGTACGATAGCTCACTGCCACGTCCACCTCTTGGTTCAAGCAATTCTCGTGCCTCAGTCTCCTGAGTAGCTGAAATTACAGGTGTGCAACACCACGCCCGGTTAATTTTTGTATTTTTTGTAGAAATGGGGTTTCACCCTGTTGGCCAGGCTAGTCTCAAACTCCTGGCCTCAAGTGATCTGCTCTCCTTGGCCTCCCAAACTGCTGGGATTACAGGTGTGAGCCACTGTGCCTGGTCTGACATGAACCCTCTCTCTGAAAAGCACAAACTACTACAATTCACACGATATAAAATAGATCATTTTAATAGCCCTATAATTATTAAGGAGACTGAATACATAACTTAAAATCTCTAAACTAATCTCCAGGCCCAGTTTCACTGGAGAATTCTTACCAGAATTAAGACCAGTTCTACACAGATTCATCCAGAAAATATAAGAGGAGGGAACATGTTACTCATTTTATGTGATGATTACCCTGCGATCAAAACCAGATAAAGATAGTATTAAGAAAAAAGATAGGTTAAGCACCATGGCTCATGCCTGTGATCCCAGCACTTTGGGAGGCTGAGGCCGGTGGATCGCCTGAGGCCAGGAGTTTAAGAGCAGCCTGACCAATATGGTTAAACCTCGTCTCTACTAAAAATACAAAAATTAGCAGGGCATGGTTGAGCATAGTAAACCGTGGTAGGATTTAAAAGTTGTATATCAACATTATATATTCTTACATATTCTTACCCAAGTCACATGAACTTGAAAATCATTTCTGTTAGTTTCTATATTGCTGAGAGAATGCTTAATTTATGTTGTGCTTATTTTTCTTTAAACCAATTAAATAGAAATATTTCATGAATTAATTTTTGACAGTGCCATCTGGAAGTAGAAAAATAACACACGTCACATACCTACCTGCACAGGCATATACAAACACACAGACAAGCAGACTTCATAGCTTTCATTTGAAAACTGTAGCCACGTACCAGGTACTGTAATATAAAACACACTAGTTTATGAAACAATAACTGGATCAAAAGTACGTTTCCAGCAGATGGAATAAGTTAAGGTTGCTTGCTCATGTGGCCAAAGTGTTCTACTAGTATTTTTGGAAAAGTCTTAAGATTTTTCATTTCAACATTAAACAAAGAGTTTTAAAGCCTTGACACAAAAGCACTGACCATAGAAGGGAAATGATATGTGGAACTAAATGAAAATTTAGGTTTTGCTTTGAACATCCTGTAAAAGGATGAAAAACAAGCTATAGACTGGGAGAAAATCTTTATAAATAATATATTTGACAAAGGACATATCTAGAATGTATAAAGATATCTTAAATCTCAACAGTGAAGAAAAATCAAGTTTCAAAATAGGGTAGAGATATGAACAGACATCCATCAAAGGGAATATGTAAATGACAGAAATGTACATGACAGTATTTAATGTCATTAGCCATTAGGAAAATACAAGTTGAAATCACATGGTGATCTTACTAGACACCTCGGAATGACGAAAATTAAAAGTAGTGACAGCACCAAATGCTGTCTCTCATACATTGCTGGTGGGAATATAGAACAGTGCGGCCACTCTGGAAGATAGTTTGGCATTGTCAGGAAACTAAATATGTGTTTTCTGAATGACTCAACAGTTGCGCTCCTATGCGTTTATCCCAGAGAACTGAAAACTACGTTCACCGACACATGAATGTATATACTACTTGTATTCATAATAGCCCCAAAATGTAGACAACCCAGATATTCTTCAGCAGATAAATGGTTCAACAAACTGTGGTATAGCCATATCATAGCACATAACACAGTAATAATAAAAAGGAACAAGTATCAGTTAGCACAGCAACTTATTTTAATCTGTAGAAATTGATGCCAGATGAGGCCAGACACAGTCATGCCTGTAATCCCAGCACTTTGGGAGGCTAAGGCAGGCAGACCACGTGAAGTCAGGAGTTTGAGACCAGCCTGGCTAACATGGTGAAACCCTGTCACTACTGAAAAAATACAAAAATTAGCCAAGCGTGTTGGTGGGTGCTTGTAATCCCAGCTACTTGGGAGGCTGAGACACGAGAATTGCTTGAATCCGGGAAGTGGAGGTTTCAGTGAGCCGAGGTCACGCCACCGCACTCCAGCCTGGGTGACAGAGCTAAACTCCATCTCAAAAAAAAAGAAAAGAAAAATTGATGCCAACTGAAAATAGTCTGAAAACATTCCATACTTTATTATTGCATTTACATAACATGTTTTAAATGATAAAATTATAGAAATGGCGACTGTTATTTGCCAGGGATTAAGGAGGGAATTGGCCTGGAAGGGAATTGGGTGTGGATATTAAAAGGGAACACGAAGATTCTTGCGGTTGTGGAACTGCTCTGGATCTTAATGATGGTAATGGGTACAGGATTTTAAACGAGTGATAAAGATGCATAGAACTAAGCATACCCACACATACACATGCCCCAGTGAGTAAAAGTAAAACTGAGGCAATCTGAATAGGATTGGTGGATTACATCAATGTCAGTATGCAGTTTGTGTTATATACTGTAGTTTTGTAAAATGTCACCATTGGGGGAAACTGGGCAAAGGGCCCCATGGTACCTCTCTACGTGCATTTGGCTCTACAATGAACTCAAAATGTCTAAACATATTAATAAAGTAAATACCTGTACCTGAATCTAAGGTGCAGAACAAATCGACTTCAGGGGCCAGATACTGTTTTTAACCAACCTGAGCCATGGGGATTTACAGTGAGCACAAAATGAAAAATGAGAATCATAAATACAAAGATTTGTACCTAGAAAAAGACAAGAACAGATTGCCTGGTCAAGGTCTATGCCTGGATCATATCGACCAAGGATGCCAAAACACATACCAAGGATGGAAATAGATATATAGATATATATACATATAGATATCGATTTATATGTCTATATATAGACAGATATAGATCTCTCTATATATAGATAGATCGATGTATAGATAGATAAATAGATACAGTGTATATTTGGGGAAAAAGGAAAAAATTAGGGCTTGAACCCCTTTGTATCCCTTTTGCTCAAATTTAACATTTTAGTTTTACTTGTCTGATGTGTTATTTGTGACTTTTTAGGTGGAATATTGGTTCTGGAAAATCCAAAAGGTGATAATAGGTTGGACCTTTTAAAACTGAAGAGTGTTGTCAGTAGCGTTTTTGGTGTGAAAAATGCAGACCTGGCTGTCTTCCATAATGAAACAAGTATGTGCAAAGTGAGAAGAGCCTGTGTTTTGACTTGAGGTCAAGATCTTAATTTGCTGTCAATTGTACTATATACCTTTTGCATTTTTCCTAATCTTGAGTCACGGCCCAGCTATTCAGCAGTGCCTGCCTGCAGTGTCTGTTCATGCCTCCTCACAGTGTGATGTGACTGGAAAGCCCGGACTGAATGGCTGTAATCCTCCCCTCTCACCTGTTTACCAGCTGGTGGGCTTCAGGCTTCAGAGTCCTCCCTGGTGAGGTTGTTTTTGTTTTTGAGACGGGGTGTCACTCTGTCACCCATGCTACAGGACAGTGATGCAATCATAGCTCACTGCAGCCTCGACCTCCTGGGCTCATGAATCCTCCTGCCTTGACCTCCCAAGTAACTGGAAGTACAAGCATGCACCACCATGCCCGGCTAATTTTGTTTAATATATGTTGTTTTTTTTTTTTTTTTCAGAGAGACTAAGTCGCACTATGTTGCCCAGTCTGGTCTTGAACCCAGGGCCTTAAGCAATCCCCCTGCCTTGGCCTCCCAAAGTGCTGGGATTCCAGGTGTGAGCTACCACGCCCAACCTGGGTTTTAACTTTATTAAACGTAATGCCTGAATCTCACTACATGTGGATTCTCAATAAAGCAAACCTGAAAAATATTTGAAAGAATTATAGATGCATTCTCCCACTGTTACCTATTGAATTCTGACCTCTGACAAAAAAGATATGTCATAACCTTGTACCTCTGAATGTGGCCCTTGGAAATAGGATTATTGCAGATGTAATTTATTAGGGTGAGGTCATATTGCAGTGGCATGGGCCTCTAATCCGGTATGACTGTTGTCCTTATAAGAAGGTGGCTATAGGCCGGGCACGGTGGCTCAAGCCTGTAATCCCAGCACTTTGGGAGACCGAGGCGGGTGGATCACGAGGTCAAGAGATCGAGACCATCCTGGTCAACATGGTGAAACCCCGTCTCTACTAAAAATACAAAAAAAGTAGCTGGGCATAGTGGCATGTGCCTGTAATCTCAGCTACTCAGGAGGCTGAGGCAGGAGAATTGCCTGAACCCAGGAGGCGGAGGTTGAGGTGAGCTGATATCGTGCCATTGCACTCTAGCCTGGGTAACAAGAGCGAAACTCCTCTCAAAAAGAAAAAAGAAAAAGGTGGCTATGTGAAGACATAGAGACACACAGAGAAAATGCCCTGTGATGACAAAGGCAGAGATTGGAGTTATACACAGCTACAAGCCAAGAAACAGCAAAGATTGTCAGGAGCCTCTAGAAGATAGAAAGAGGCAAAGAAAGATTTGCCTACAGGTTTCAGACAGAGTACATCTGACCACACTTTGATTTCGGACTTCTGACGTCCAGAACTTTGAGACCGTAAATTTGTTTTATATTAATTCCCTGGCTGCTCCAACTCCCCACATCCCCAGTTTGTGGGACTTTATTATGACAGCCTCAGAAAACTAATACTCACTTTACAAATCTGAAGGCTCATTTGCAGAAACGTTAAAAAAAATTTTTTTTAAGACGGTCTTGCTCTGTTGCCCAGGCTAGAGTGCAGTGATAACAATCTCGGCTCACTGCAACCTCCACCTCCCAGGTTCAAGTGATTCTCCTGCCTCAGCCTCCCAAGTAGCTGGGATTACAGGCATGCTTCACCATGCCTGGCTAATTTTGTATTTTTAGTAGAGATGAGGTTTCTCCTTGTTGGTCAGACTGGTCTCAAACTCCTGACCTTAGGTGATCTGCCCACCTTGGCCTCCAACCTGCTGGGATTACAGGTGTGAGCCATCACACCCAGCCCAGAAACTTTTAAATAACTTAAAAGAAGAAATGCAAATGGCCAACTAAGGAACAACTGGTGCATCTGAATGGTAATCAGGAACTTGCAAGATAGTACCACAGTGAGGTACTATTAACTGCCACCAGATTGGCAAAAACTAGAAGAATCTGACAGGATCACGTGTTGTCAGAGATGTTATATAATAGGAACTCTCATTGACTGCTGGCTTATGAATTGTTGGAACCACTGGAAAAGTGTTTGCCATTGTATCCATTAAAGTTGGGCTAGGAGACGCAAAAGCAATGTGGGAGAAACTGAGTAAAGGTCTATAAAAAGAGATCAAGTTGGAAGTCTGAGAAAAATCTCTAACTGGGGTCCACCAAGGTGATGGGTAAGTCAGCAGAAAGCTAGGTCTCTGCCTGAAGTCGCTGTAGGATAAGAAGTAGAGAAAAGCAAAAACAGGCTGGAGCGCACATCTGTCTAACCGCATCTGACACTGACAGGCAGATGTCTTACAGAAGAAACTGCTGGTACACTTTGCCAGAGAGTTGCACACGTTCCTGGCCTGGAAGCCAGAAGAGTAGAGGCAGGAACATGGGCTGTGCACTGTCCCACTTAACCCAATAAGTCAGCAGGTCCACAGCAACCTGAGAAAGCAGTGCCAGGCCCCATATTAACCTGTGAGCATAATGACTATTAATAAACTTCTGCCTTTTAAATCCTATGCACATTTCTCTGTGATTAAGCTGTTACCCAGAGCCAGGCCAGACAGAGAACCTGGGAAATAGTTTTAGGTTAGCTGCATTGACACAGGATGAAACCACCATAGCTCACCCCATTGTGATCTTGACATCTATACATACAGCTCTTTAAACCATATTTAACTTCCAAATAAAGACCCTAATACATTAAAAATCATGCTTTTAACTCTTTCTTGTACAACTTCAAAGATGCCAGCTTCATTACCCAAAACAAGATAGAAAGTTACCTTACCCTTCCTTGGGTAATGTTGATTTTTCTTCTAGCTGAGTCATACCACCTCCCTTTACTATTCTTTAACTTTACTGAGATATAAGGTCAACCTGTTAAAATATTTTGTCATATGGTATGGAAGTAAGAGAGTGGAAAAATAAGAATTGACTAAATATATATATTAATACATAATGCCGCACTTGTTTGCTAAAAAAATGAGTTTTCTGGTTAGAAGCAATGCTAGGCTGGGGCATTTGCTCAAGGAACAAATTGAGCAAATGATACATTCTCTGTGTCCATGGATGGTGGGTTTGGGTTATGGGTGACAGTGGCAAATTCTTGTCCAAAGTGAGTGTGTGTTCCAGTAAGACCAGAGCACTGCCTTTTCCCATGATGCAAACGGTCCAGTACAAACAAGCTGCCATCAGAGGTCTGGCTCCTCTTTCCTGGCAGTAACACTATATTGAAAGCTCAGTAATGGTTCCTGCTGTTGGTAAGTGGAATACGCAGTAGCAGCTGCAGCAAAATCAGCCTTGGGGAGTGGAAGTAATGTTGCTTTGCTGAGCCCATGGTTATTCTTCCCCCCAACCTGGTGGCCCCTTTGTTCATCAGTCCACTGGACAAGGGCAGAAGTGGCTAGCAACCAAATAGGTATGTCCACCGATTTTTTTTTTTTCTTTTTCTTTTTTTGAGCCAGGATCTCACTCTGTCGCTCAAGCTGGAGTACAGTGGCTCAATCATCACCCAGTGTAATCTCAAACTTCTGGGCTCAAGCAGTCCTCCCGCCTCAGCCTCCAAAGTAGCCGGGACTACAGATACACACCACCATGCCTGGCTAATTCTTTTCTTTTTTGTAGAGAGGAGGTCTTGCTGTGTTGCCCAGGCTGGTCTCAATCTCCTGGCCTCAAGCAGTCTTCCCCTTTCCTCTTCCCAGAGTGCTAGAATTAAATGTGTGAGCCACTGTGCCCAGCCCCACTCATCTTTAGATTCTCATTCATAGTCTGCCCATTTGTGGAGATCTGTCCACATACCTCTTGCCCTAACTTCCATGTCACCAGTTTTCTGATTCTGTTCTTTGAGCCCCTGGCTGTTCTCGTTTAGTTCAGCTATTGGCCAGTGTCCCTGAATCAGTGTAGATCTACTCCTAGCTTTTTCTCCTTCTCAGCAAAATGACCAGCCAGCTGCACTGAATGAAGTTGTTCCCCTTGGGAGGATTTCCACCCATCACTATTCTTCAGGGCTACCCACAGTCAGAACAGGGCTGTAATACTATAATCGTCTACTTCAGATGGCACAGCGTGCTGTGCAGTTAAGCCTTACACAGCAAGCCCTAAAATGTTTTCTTTCTCTATCAGCTAGTCCTGGAAGATTTCCTACAAGGCCACACCTGTGGTTGAGAGAAGGGACCATGTGGGCCTAGGCTGAGTATGAGCATCTAGCCACTGGTGCAGCAAGTTCCTTGTTCCTTGAGCAAATGCCCCAGCCTAGTCTCATACCTGCCATTTCCGCTCAGTAGTTGGAGTCTGTCCTGTATCACAGCCATTACCAGTCATCTGCCTGTGCCTGCATCCCCAAGCAACGTGTAGTGTTCTCTAAACGAGATTATATTGCGTGTGTTCTGTGCATCTTGCTTGTCTCCACATCTGTTCCTGAGTAAAAAATCATCTGCCTGTAATTATCATTTTTTAATATAAGCTTTTCATGGTCAAGCTTGAGATTCTGATATAGGAGGAGGAAGTTTTAAGGGGACCTGTATTATAAAGAGAAAATACTAAAATAGAAAAAACAATTTTCCCTATATTTCAGATTATGAATATTAATGGTGTTTATTCTGCAGCATTAAGATTTCCTACCATTATGTGTCATTAAAGGCTGGTTTTATAGAAAAGGCAATGTCTTTTGATAGAAATTAAGGGGAAAGCATCGTTGTAAAAAAATACGTGATAGTTTAATAGTTAAATAGGAAGAATTAAATGACTTCAGTTTTGAACTGTCATTAACCCTGAAAGAATTGTTGTCGTTGTTATTTTTCAGAAATACAAAACCAAACCGACTTACTGAGTCTTAGTGGAAAAACACTTTGTGTGACTGCAGGATCGGCTCCCTCTCTGATCAACAGTTCTGGTGCTCTTCTTTGTCAGTATGTCAACCTGCAGCTCCTGAATGCAAAGCCACAAGGTATGTGCCTCCTCACAGCAGGCAGAGTGTGGGGTGCTGGGCATTAAGGTTCTGTATGTATGTGTATGTTTCTAGTCGGCTTCAAAGTATTGCTTTAAAGTGTGGGCTCCCATGCTGCTTTAGGGAGCAACCACAGGCTTTTCTTTTGATGTGTTTACATAGAGACCCTCAACTATCTGGCATGGTTAGGAAATGAAAAAATTGGTTAGGCAAAAATTACAACTAAATTGTTTAAGTGCCAAAACATTTTAATTTCTAATTTTACTTTCTTTCTGGGGGAAAATGTTCCGAAAACTTGTGTACCTCCATGCCTGAGTCAACAGACTAGATTTTAGCGATTTTTTTCCTGGTAGTTTAGGATCCTCATTTTGCACATTTGCATTGAAGTCTGCGGGTTCTTCACTTGACTGTGTACTAAGTATCTGTTCCCCAAGCTTCTGGGCTTTTACATAAGGTTCCCCCCCCCACTTCCCCTTCACCTCTATGAAATCTTCAAGGCTGTTTCTGCAAGGACTGCATCTCCCGTGGTCACGCTCATGCTTCTGGATCCACTGCTGGTCTCAGCACTGCCTGTTAGAGCTGTCCGCAGTGGCCGCCTGTGTTGGAGTTAGAAGGTGAACTCGAGATTTAATCCAGTTTGCTCTTTCTTCCATAGAGTGTTTAATGGGGACAGTGGGTACTCTCCTGCTTGAAAACCCACTTGGGCAGAGTGGACTCACCCACCAAGGTCTTCTGTATGAAGCAGCCAAGGTGTTTGGCCTTCGAAGCAGGAAGCTAAAGCTATTTCTGAATGAGACCCAAACGCAAGGTAAGGGAATTATGGAATGTAAGTTTTTTATTTTTATTGAAAGTAGATTTTGATGCCATTAACCATTTGTAGCATACATGTGTAAGATAGTACTATTGTTATTCTTTTTTGTTATTCCTTCCCCAGAAATTTACCATAATGTAATTTTCTTTTTTTCTTTTTTCTTTTTTTTAAGGTGGAATCTTGTTCTGTCTCCCAGGCTGGAGTGCAGTGGTACAATCTCGGCTCACTGCAACCTCCACTGCCTCCTGGGTTCAAGTGATTCTCCTACCACAGCCTCCTGAGTAGCTGGGAATACAGGTGCCCAACACCACGCCCAGCTCGTTTTTGTATTTTTAGTAGAGATGGGGTTTCACCATTTTGGCCAGACTGGTCTCAAAACTTCTGACCTCAGGTAACAGCCCTCCTCAGCCTCTCAAAGTGCTGGGATTACAGGCATGAGCTACTGCACCAGGCCAAAATACAATTTTTAAATAGCAATTAAAAGAATAACTACTTCTTGCTAAATCTAAAAACGACATTGGTATGTTGTTAAAAATACATGCTTCTGGGTAAATTAGCATATCTGCTAACCCTAAAATTGTTTTCTTCCCCAAAAGTCAAAATTATCACAGAGTTGTAAAATAACAACTTGTTCCTTGAAGGAAACTTACAGCTGCCCTGATACTTCTCCTTTACAGATCATAAAACATGCTTACCTGCATTTTCTCCTTGAGACACGTAACACTGTGAAGAGCTAGGTCATCAGTTGACATATTCCACATTCCATCATCTAATATTGCTGCCACTACGATCATTTCCCCAGACAGCTTTGTTTTGTGGGATCTGTTTTTTCTATTTATAGTCATTCTTGACATCCCAACTCAAAACTTTCACCATCCCATCCTTTTATTTGTGACACCTGATAGCCTGGGGTTTGTTGGGCTTTCTGCATCAGTATTTGTGTCGTGTGTGTGTGTGTGTGTGTGTGTGTGTGTGTGTGTGTGTGAGAGAGAGAGAGAGAGAGACAGGGAGAGAGGGGGAGAGAGAGAGAGACTGGATTTTGCTCTGTCACACAGGCTGGATTGCAGTGGCTCAATCACAGCTCACTGCAGCCTCAAACTCCTGGGCTTCAGTGATCCTCCCACTTCAGCTTCCCTAATTTTAAAAATTTTTGTAGAGACAGTGGCTCACTAAGAGATCCAGGCTGGTCTTGAACTCCTGGCTGCAAGTGATCTCACCTTGGCCTCCCAAAGTGTTGGGATTATAAGCAGGAGCCACCACACACTGCCTGGTTTCTACCATTTTCGTTCTATTCTTTCTCTATTTCTTTTTCTTATCTTTTTTGTTTTTTTCTTTGAGACAGAGTTTCACTCTTATCACCCAGGCTGGAGAACAGTGGCAAAATCTCAGCTCACTGCAACCTCTGCCTCCTGGGTTCAAGCGATTCTCCTGCCTCAGCCTCCTGAATAGCTGGAATTACAGGTGCCCACCACCACGCCCAGCTAATTTTTGCATTTTTAGTAGAGACGGTTTTGCCATGTTGGCTAGGGTGGTCTTGAACTCCTGACCTCAGATGATCTACCTGCCTCAGTTTCCATGGACTCTGTCCTGGTATCCTTTTTCTGTGTGGTTGCCAAGTGTCCTCTAGCCTAGGGTTAACTGTGCAAAATACTTGTGAGTTTTCAGAGTGGTGTTCCTAATAAATGCAATTCATTTAGAAAAAAGAATGTTCTTGATGAAGCACTAAAAATTATTAAAGTTATTAAATCTTGATCATTGAGAATGAATATTCTTAATATTGTATGATGAAATTGAACATGCAGACATCACACTTAGGAATATCCAAGTGAGTGGGGAAGAGTAGATTAGACACAGATAAAGAGGAAATCAATGACATGGATGATTGAGAGATGTAAAAAGTCAGTTAGAATGTAGTGCAGAAAATATGAAAGGGGGGTTTATGAAAACAGACTCTACCAGCACCTGAATCTTGGACTTCCTAGCCTCTAGAACTGTAAGAAGTAAATATTTGTTGCTTAAACCACCCAGTCTGTAGTATTTTGTTATAGCAGCATGAGCTTGAAGTAAGAGCTCAAATAAATAACCTAACTTAATACTGCAAGGAAATAAGAAAGAACAAACTAAACCAAAAATTAGCAGAAGGCAGAAGGAAGGAAATAATAAAGATAGATAGATAAACAAAAAAGAGAATAGAAAAGTAATAGAAAAAATCCACAAAATCAAGAATGATATATATATATTTTTTGAGACAGAGTCTTGCTCTGTCACCAGGCTGGAGTGCAGTGGCGCATCTCAGTTCACTGCAACCTCCGCCTCCTGGGTTCAAGGGATTCTCCTGTGTCAGCCTCCTGAGTAGCTGGGACCACAGGCGCATGCCACCACACCCAGCTAATTTTGTGTGTGTGTGTTTTCAGTAGAGACGGGGTTTCACTGTGTTGGCCAGGATGGTCTTGATCTCTTGACGTCGTGATCCACCTGCCTCACCCTCCCAAAGTGCTGGGATTACAGGCATGAGCCACCACTCCCGGCCAAGAATGAGATTTTTTAAAAGATCAACAAAGTTACAAACCCTTAACCGGACTACCTAAGAAAAAATGAAAAAAAAACAGAGATAACACAAATTTTAAAAAATGAATTCTTTTTGTTTCTGTGACATTACAACTGATACAGAACAAAGAAAAAGAATTATGAGAGAATACTACTATTTAAATGTCAACATATTGAATAACCTAGAAAAACTGATAAATTTGTAGAAACATACAACCTACCAAAAGTACAAAAAAGAAACATACAACCTACCAAGACTGAATCACAAATAAATTTTAAAAATATGAACAGACCTATAACTAGTAAGTAGATTGAAGTAATAAAAAGAACTCCCCAAAAGAAAAGCCCAGCCCTGGGGAATTATATCAAACATTTAAAGAATCAATACCAGTCTTCCTCAATTCTTCCAAATAATTAAAGAAAGGAAACACTCTCAAACTCATATGAGGCCAAAATTACCTTGATTCCACAACCAAAGCCAGAAGAAAAGAAAACTAAAGACCAATATGTCAAGGGAATATTGATGCAAAAAAAACTTTAAAAAAATTTTAATGAACAGAATTAAAACAGGACGTCAAAACGAGTATATACATCATGACCAAGTTGGATTTATATTTGGAATGCAAGGATAATTCAACATACAAAAATCAGTCAGGTAATACGTCACATTAATATAATGAAAGACAGAAACCACATCATTATCTCAAATTATGAAGACAGAGAATTCAAAAAAAAAAATTCAACACCATTTCCTTATTAAAAATACTCAACAAACTAGGAATGAAAGGACAATACTACCACATGATAGCGACCTCACATTAAATGCCCAGAACTAACATTATGTTTACTGGTGGAAGACAAAGCTATTCCTCCAAGTATAGGAGAAAGTCAAGGATGCCCACTCTTGCCACTTCTGTTCAATGTAGTACTGGGCCAGAGCAATTAGACAAGAAAAAGATCTGTAAAAGGGATTCCAATTGGAAAGGAAGAAGTATAAAATTATTTCTGTTTATAGATCATATGATTTTATATGTAGAACACCCTAAAAATTCCACCAAAAAAACCTGTAAGCACTAATAAGTGATTTCAGCATTTTGATGCAACATTAACACACAAAAAAATCCATTGCAGCTCTGTACATTAACAATGACCAATATGGAAAAGGGAATTAGGAAGAAAATTTCAGGCCAGGAGTGGCAGCTTACACTTGTAATCCCAACACGTTGGGAGGCTGAGGCAGGAGGATCACTTGAGGCCAGGATTTTGAGACCAGCCTGCCCAACATAGTGAAACTCTGTCTCTACTTAAAAAAAATTAAAAAGAGAATTTTATTTATCATAGCATCAAAAAGAATACAATACTTGGAAATAAACTTCACCAAGGAGGCAAACAACTTGTACGCTAAAAACTACAAAACAATGTTGCAAGAAACCAAAGAGTATACAAATAAATGGAAAGACATCTCCGTGCATGTGGATTTGAAGATTTAATATTGTTAAAATGTCCATATTACCTAAAATAATTTCCAAATTCAGTACAATCCCTATTGCAGCATTATTCAGAATAGCCAAGAGATCCAACCCAAATGTCCAGGGGGCATGAAAGGATAAAATATGGTATATACATACAACGGAAGACTAAGAACCCCTCAGAAAGGAAGCCATGTCACATGCTAGAGCACAGATGAAGCAAGAACATTATGCTACGTGAAATAAGCCAGTCACAAAAGGAGTGAATAAGCCAAAAACTACTTTCCTTCATATGAAATCGTTAAGGTAGTCAAAATTACAGAAACATAAAGGAATGGTTGCCAAGGACTGGGGTGGGAGTAGGGGTAAATTAGTTTTTAATATGTTTGGAATTTCAGTTGTGAAAGACGAAAAATTTCTAAAGATCTAAATTTCACAATGACTAGTTAACGGTTTGTTTTTTTTGTTTGTTTTTGGAGACGACTCTTCTCTGTCACCAGGCACCAGGCTGGAGTGCAGTGGTGCGATCCTGGCTCCCTGCAACCTCCACCTCCTGGGTTCAAGCAATTCTCCTGCCTCAGTCTCCTGAGTACCTGGGACTACAGGCACCTGCCACCATGCCCAGCTAATTTTTGTATTTTTTAGTAGAGACAGAGTTTCACCATGTTGGCCAGGATGGTCTTGATCTCTTGACCTCGTGATCTGCCCACCTTGGCCCCCCAAAGTGCTGGGATTACAGGCATGAGCCACCGTGCCCAGCCAGTTATTGGTTTCTTAAACGTGACATCAAAACCATAAGTAACAAAAGAAAAAATAAATAAATTGGACTTCATTCAAAGTAAAATATTTTGTGCTTCAAAGAGTATCATCAAGAAAGTAAAGGACCAGGCGCAGTGGCTCTCACCGGTAATCTTGGCACTTTGGGAGGCCGAGGTGGGTGGATCCCAAGGTCCGGAGATCAAGACCATCCTGGCCAACATGGAGAAACGCAGTCTCTACTGAAAAATACAAAAAAATTAGCTGGGCATGGTGGCATGCCTATAGTCCCAGCTACTCAGAAGGCTGAGGCAAGGGAATCTCTTGAACCTGAGAGGCAGAGGTTACAGTGAGCCAAGATCACACCACCGCACTCCAGCCTGGTTACAGAACAAGATTCCGTTTGAAAAAAAAAAAGAAAAGAAAAGAAAAGAAAGAAAGAAAATAGAAAGTCAAGGACAACCCATAGAATAGGAGAATATTTCTGCAAATTATGTCTTGTAAAGCATTTGTAGCTGGAATACATAAAGAATTCTTACAACTCAATGACAAAACACAAACCAATTAAAAGTGTTGAGTACACATTACTCCAGAGAAGATATACAAATGGAGAATAGGTACACGAAAGAAGTTCAACATCGGGGAAACACAAACGCAAACTCTGATGAGATGTAACCTCAGAACCACTAGGATGACTTGATCAAAAAGATTTGAGAATAAATGTTGGCTGGAATGTAGCGAGAAGCTGGGACCTTCACACAGCTAGCGGGTATATAAAATGGTACATCTACACTGGAAACAGTCTGTCACCTTCTGAAATAGTTAAACATAGAGTTCCCATATGGCCCATCAATTCCGTTCTTAGGTATATAGCCATCAGAAATGGAAACACATCCCCACAAGCCTTGTACACAAATGTTCTTAGAAGTGTTATTCACAATAGACAAAATGTAAAAACAACCCAAATGTTCTCAACTGATAAATGGATAAATTTTAGTATATCCATCAATGGAATATTATTCAGTAATAAAAAGGTTTGATGTAATGATGCATACTAAAAACATGGATGAACCTTGGAAATATTCTAAGTGAAAGAAGACAGATGTGAAAGACTCACATTGTATGTTTCATTCACACAAAAGTCCAGTGTATGTAAAACTGTGGGAAGTGAATTAGTTACGTAGGGCTAGGGAAGATAGAGGTAATGGCTAAAGGATAAGGGGTTTCCTTTTGAGATGATAAAAAATCTTCTAAAGTTTATTGTGGCGATGGCTGCAAATTCTATCAATATACTTAATATGACAGTTTCAAATTCTGTAAAAAAAACATGAATCAATGTCAATGAGTGAAAACATGCTATGTGAATGTATTATTAAAACTTTTATTTTAAAAATTAGCTGAAGCAAATGGTAGAATGTTGGCATGGGCCACATCTAATGGGTGGCTGTGTTATTCTCTATTTTTATGTGGTTGAAACATTCCTACTTTTTTTTTTTTTTTTTGGAGGCAGAGTCTTGGTCTTGTCACCCAAGCTGGAGTGCAGTGGCATGATCTCGGGTCACTGCAACCTTCGCCTTCAGGGTTCAAGCAATTCCCCTGCCTCAGCCACCCAAGTAGCTGGGATTACAGGTGCAACCATGCCTGGCTAATTTTTTGTGTTTTTAGTAGAGACAAGGTTTCACCATGTTGGCCAGGCTGGTGTCAAACTCCTGACCTCAGGTAATCTGCCTTCCTTGGCCTCCCAAAGTGCCGGGATTACAGGTGTGAGCCATCCTGCCAGGCCTAAAGTTTACATTTTTCAAAAAAGTAAAAAGCAGTGGATGTGACTGCAGGATGTCTTATGAATGGAGCATTTGTGGCACTGGATGTTGGCTCACACAGAAGCTCCCAGTCCTGAGCAATGCAGGGAAAAGCATGAGATGGGGTAGGAGTTGACATGGCTCAGCTGGCTAAGGTGACACTTGACGGTCCCAGTGGTCTGACTTGGTTCGTGTGATGTCGGCTTTAGGGTTTTATTTTGTCACATTATGAAGGAGTGAAGCCTGTTTACAGTCAGTTTCTATCTATGCTAATGAAGGGCAAGGGGATGAAGCAATTGACTTTGACTAACCATCCACTGACATTGATTAGGTGTCTTATGATCCTATCTTCATCTGTGAGATTTCTATGTTGTTTGTGTTTAATGTCAGAGAATATCTTTTAATCGCTCATACAGTTTATGCAAATAGTGTATACATGATAAACCTCCTTACAACATGATCTTTGGAATGAACTAAGACAAAGGAGATTCTGAGGAAGGACCATGGCATGAGGTGGAATTCATCCCTTGGTGGAATGAGATGAGGGTGGAAAATGAACCATGGGTAAATACACCCTTAGTCCACATACATTTGCCTAAAATGAGCTCACAGGGCACAGGTGTGCAGACCACGCATGCTCAATGACATCGTAACTCAGAATCAGTAACCCAGCATACCAGCTCCCTCACAGGGATGTGCTAGGGTGGGAGCCACTGTTGAGTGTCAGCGTCCAGTGATGGCCAGGGACTCAGTGACAGCAACTCTGGCAGCCCTGGCCGGATATCAGCCGATTGGCCCAGATCCCCCAAAGTAAGTGATTCTCACTAACACCGCCCAGGTCACCTAGACCTGAAAGACATAATGGGACGCTGAAGTTAGAATCAAAGTGCAGCTAGAAACGGGCAGCCACCTGGAGCACGTCCATCCTGGCAGCTGTCAGAAAGCACAGCATGTTCACTACCGGGAACCGGCCTTGCTCACGTTGTCAGATGGAGGTTCCCAGGAGGCCATGGTTTCTCAGGGATCTGTTGTACAGCAGTGAAGGGAGGGGACTCTGGAGGCAAACGTGCGCAGGGTGCCCCAGCTGCACTGGCTCCCAGGGAGTCACCTGGGTTCGTGAGCAGGGAGGCCAAGCTCACTGAGAGCCTCAGCACACCAGCAGCACCTGGTGTGAGCGAGCTGCCTGGCTTCCCTGAGCCTGGATGTGATGACGTCACGGGTGTTTGCAGATTCCCTTTCACTGTGTCCCACAGCACTCCTCGTTCATGTGTGATACGCTGCACTTGGGGTGGAGGTGTGCAGACCACCGTAAAGGGCTGAGCCTTTCTTCATTCTTCCCCATGGCTCTGATGCAGATTTCACATACCAGTTAGGAAGGAAGTTCCTGAGATGATGGACCTTGTAGTCACATAGGGCTGCTGGGGTGAAGTGTCATAGACTTGGGGAATGGACGAGGCATGTATTAAGCAAAGAAATGTCTTTGTCACAGTCTGAGGGCTGGAAGTCCAAGGTTAGGGTCCTGGTGTGGTGAGGTTCTGGTGAGGGCTCCCTTCCTGGCCTGCAGATGGCTGCCTTCTCACTATGTCCTCGTGTTGGGGAGAGAGAGCTCTGTGGTCTCTGCTTCTTACCAGGGCCCTAATCCCAACATTAGAGCCCCACTCTCATGGTCTCATCTACCCCTGAAGAACTCCCAAAGGCCCCATCTCCAAATACCATCATGTTGGGAGTTAGGGCTTCAGGAATTGTGGGGGACACGTTCAGTCTATCGGAGCCCCCCAGTGAGCCCCACTGTCCCCGTTTAGGGGCAGATTTTAGGCTTCAGGCGGGACATAGAGGTAGAGAAAGTACAGGTTCTGCCTCCTGGGAATGGTTCAGCCAAAACAAGGACAGGGACGTGGGGCAGACAACAGCCAGTGGGGTAACCAGCAGGAGTCCCGAGGTGCCACTAAGCCAAGGTGTCACTCCCATCCTTAGGTGAGGAAGTTGGCTGAGCACCACACACACCAGAGTACAGACCATGTTCCCTTCAAACACAGCTCACTTACCATTCCTCAACCCTGCAAAGGGGAGGTGCTACCTCGTCTCCTGAGGATGGCCCTGAAGGCATAGGAGTCACGGGAACTGTGCACATCACCCACCAGTGACTCTTCACTCCCCACATTTTCCCCAATGGGCTGATGTGCACCGAGCTGGGGAAGCCCTGCCAGGTTAAACTCTTCTTCCCAAAGGCCACAGAGGGCAAGCGTCTGACACTGCCCACATGGAGCAGAAGGGAGGGGGCAGAGGGGCATCTGTCCAGCTGACTGGTGTGTTCTGTGGGCAGATGGGGCCGGAGAGGACCCAAACATGGCTCCCTTTGTCACTCAGCAGAGGCCAGACCACTGTGTAAGGTACAGCTGTGCCCCACCAGCCTCTGCTGCTGTGCCAGTCCCCAGCACCATGACCACAGCTCTGCATGCAGGGAGTGCTGGGACCAGTGCTCTGGCAGTCACCGTGGTCCTGAGCCAACAAGTGCCCTGGGGAGGAACCGGAACTCAGACGGTGAAGAAGGTGTTGGCCACGAGGGAACCAGGGCGGGTGCCAGGTCCTGTCTATGCTGGGATCTGAGATTCTGAGAGGTGGGTTAGGGGTAAAGGGGTAGAGGTCGACCGCATGGGGTGAGGGGAGTTCAGCAGAGATGGGGAGGACAGGACAATGTGGGAAAGAGCAGAGCGTCCTCCCCAGCCTCAGTCCCTCTCCTGATGCAGTCCTCATCTCACTCTTAGACTCTGGAAGTCTCCCTTCAGCGAACACCAGGCCCCCGACTCCCAGGGCACTTCCCAGACAGCCAGTGCCACATCCCAGGCAGCCCCTGCTCTGCCCTTGAGGTCTGAGCCTGGCAGAAGGGCGGCTGACCCTCGGCCCCTCTCAGCCCGGGTCCCAGCTCTGCCTGGCCCTGGGACCAGCAGACACACCCACCCTACACCTGGCAGGCTGGCCATGCTTGTGCCCGTTGGTGATGGTGGGTTGGGAGGGAACTGTTTCAGATACCAATGTAAGTCTGTGTCTGCATCAATTCCACACAAGAGTTCAGTCATCATATGGGAAGGGAGTCATAGCTGTGGGGGGTGCTCCATGCAGGACCCCGAGGGACCCTGAGGCCAGTCCCTGTGGCCACAGCAAGGAGCATCTGCTTCCGCCAGTTGGACAAGACTCTTTTCTACCCAGAAACAGGAGAGGGACTTCCCCTGCTCCCCACCCGCCATCGTATTTCAAGCACACCCGTGTGGATGGACGCCTCAACATCTCCCCTCAGCCCGGGGCCTGAGCTCTTCCTGATGAGGGTTAAGCAGGAGCGGCCGCCTCTCCCTGTGTCCCTGTTGCAGGCAGCTGCCTTCTCCTCAGCTCCCACGGGGCAGATCAAGAGCCAGCCAGCTCTCAACATCCCAGGATTTTCCAGGGATGCTGATAACTAAAGCAGGTGGGGCCTTGTGAGTGGGTGGTGGGAGGGATCAGGGCTTCCTAAGCATCCGTGAGTCCCTGGAGCATCTGAAGGGGCAGTCTACACCTGGAGGACTGAGTGTGGCCAGCCCCGTGGGTCCCCAGTGCCTGGTATCTCCCGGTCCCTCTGCTATCCGTCACAGACCCCCTCCACTGAGCAGCACAGCCCTGAGAACAGAGGCAGCAGCCCGGAGAGCATTTCCAACACGACTATATTCAGATTTACACACAAGACCCCCAAGGCATTGCTTCCACCCCCTCCCCCCAGGCCCTCCCTTCCTGTTCAGCCACCATATCCCACCCCTTCCTCCCCCACCCTCCAAATCTAAGGCCCAGCAAGATGAGCACTGGGGAATCTTTTGTCTACTTTGGGGCATCGGATATCAGAGCCCCACTTCGGGGATTGGTACCAGAGAGCCTGCCCTGTCCCCCTACTGGCTACAAGCCCGCTCCTTCTTCTTCCTGAGATCAAGGGGGTCACCCTTTCTCTTTTGAGACTGTGAGGGGCCACCCAGCCCCCAAGCCAGGGATTGCGCCCCAGAGACTCTGAACCCAGGCCCTAGGTGGGGCGTCTGTTCAGCAGGGGATGGGCCTCCAAAGAGAACTCGATTCTTGGACTTGGTGGCAGGAGTGGGTACTGGGCTGAGGCCTCCTCTCTGAGCAGAGGGAGACTGAGGAGCTCCCTGGGGTCCCCGTCCTGGGCTGAGAAGGCCCGAGGCAGGGACAGGGCTCTGGGGCAGCCTCCAGGGCAGCAGCCTGTGCTGGGAACCCAAGAGGAAGGCCAGGCTGGGGAGCTCCTCCTCCTCCTCACCTGACCCCTGAGCCAGCCCACGTGACTCCCTGACAGGACACCCTCCAGGGAGACCCAGGGTGTCCTTGTTCCCCAGACCAGGGCAGGTGGGTCTATGATCCTGGGGAGGAGAGTATGGCTGGGCAGCCCTAAGGCTGTGGGAATCCAAACTCTCCAAAAGCGTAACAGGCTTTTTGGACCTGGCCATGCCAGTGCGTGCTCTGCCTCGTCCCTGAGGGTCCCGGGAGGCTGTCTGAGGTGGGCAGGTTTCCATGCTGACCCCTTGCTGGAGGCCAGGGACATCTCTCTCTGTTCCTTGGCCTATTGCAGACTCAGAAGAGATTGAGTCCAACCGGGCGGTGCCGTGACTGGGGGCTGCCCTCGCACACCGTTCCTCCTTCAAGGATAGGCGGCGCTTCTCCACTACCTGCGGGAGGAAAGGGGGCACTTACTGGCACTGCCCCAAGTGTGAGCGGGGCCCAGGGTGGTGGAGACGGCCCAAGGGCACTTGGGCGGCAGGCAGGGAAGCCTGAGGCAGCTGGGCTTCCTGTCAAAGACAGAGGGTGTGGCTCTGCAGGGCATCCCGCTGGGCCTCACTGCAGTTTGCATCCTGACCCCCCTCCCTGGCTGCTCTCCATCCTGCTCCATCTGAACCTGCACCTCCCCACCTCGGAGTGGCTCCCCAAGAAGCTGAGCATCCCGGCAGGGTCGGGTAGACAATCAGGTGGCGCCTGTGTGCCGGGTCCCTCCTGCCCCTGGGCTGTCTGGGTTCCCCTCCCTCCCTGCTCTACCTGGGCCAGGGTGAGTCCTTCCTCCTGCTCCAGCTCCTGGCTTAGGGCCAAGAAATCCATCTGTGGATCTGGGGAAAGCAATTCTTCCAGGAATCGGGGGTGAATGACGGCCTCTACCTGGAAACAGAAGGAAGACGGCGTGAGCTTCCCAGGCAGGGAGTAACCTGGAGCCAAGGACACCTGGAGGAGATGCAGAAAGCAGCGAGCGCCCCGTCCCCACCCTTCTGGAGCTGTCTCATACCATGGCGACCACCAGCTCCACACACAGACCACAGACCTGGTAGCATCCACACATGCAGACAGAGACACACAAACCACACACAGACAGACCCACATACGACACAGGAAAATACACAGACACAAGTAACATACACACGCTACACTCACACCCACACACACACACAAAAACACACAGTAAAAAATCACGGGCACAAACACACAGCAGAGCTTAATTCCAAGGAACTGCAAGTGACCCTCCTCCCCCCCTGGAATTCTGCAGACCTCAGCACTTCAGGCCAGCCCACCTTGGTGACGAAGTCTTTCTGGGAACACAGATTGTCAATGTAGCTCAGGAGGCCTGGGTCTAGAAGCATCCCGTCCTCTTCCTGCTCTGCTTTGCCCGCTTCCCATTGTGCCTTGAGCTCCCCTGTGGCCCCAGCGTGAGGCCCCAGCAGCTCCTCCATGATGTCCACATACTCCTGCACCACTTCAGGGGGGATCTCCTCGGGGGCCTTGGTCTCCGCTGGCCGCTGGGGCCTGGGTGGTGACAGGCAGGCAGGTGGGGCCTTGGGGCCGGCCTTGCTGGGAAGGTACACTGAGGCAGGGAGGGAGGGCGATGGGCGTGGTGAGGGCTGCTCCTCCTGCCTGCACCACACAGGGGAGGGCAGGGCTCGGGGACGTGAAGTGGGTCCCAGCTGGGTCGGGACCATCTGAACCACAGCGCCCCAGAGGAGACGCTGCTGGAGGGGCACATCTGACAGCATCGTTTTGGAGGATGTTTGGAGCCACCGATATGCCAGGTACTCTACCCGCTCATCCCTGTTCCTGGGCCAATTGTATGTTGAGTTTCGGACAGGCAAGGGGAGAATAGCGAGGAAATCTCACCAGGTCAATACCCTCCTTTATGACCACGGGCCGCCCACGAAGTAGGTGTTGACCTGGTCAGTACCCAACGTATACCCTTGGGAGCTGTCCTGTTGGAGGAGCACATTCCTCTCTTGAAGGGAGGCATCGGGTGTGGGGACAGTGGCCTCCCTTGGCCCTTGTGTCCTTTGCCATGGCTCCTGTGGGAACGTGGGAAGCCGTACCTGGCTGCTTGACCATGTCAGTGGCTGATGATCCTTGAGGTTCAAGCCTCGGCGGGGCTGGAGGAGGCAGGCACTGGGGCCCCTTCATCCACTGTGACTTCTGAATCTGCATCTCCTCCTCAGCCTCAAACTCCAGGAACCTGGGTTCAAGATGGTGCAGGCCGTGCTGAGAGGGTCCAGGCCCCCTACCTCCAGGACCAGGCAGCAGTCGATGGCAGCGATGGGAAGGAGTGCCTCGGGCAGGTTGTGCAGGCCCTCCCTGGGGCCGGTCCCCTAGTCCCAGAGGGGCTGCTCCCAGAGTTCGGGGCTCACCCTCCCTCACCCGGCCCCTGCAGAGCCCATGGCATCAACATGGCTTCCTGACTCAAGTCAGTGCCATGAGGTCCAGGGGGTCACCGGGGGACCCCCTCCTCTAGGCTCAGCTGGCCAGGGGTGGGGTTTATGGCAAAAGATGTCAGGGATGTTGCCCAGATGTGGGAGTCCTGAGGTTAGGACTGTGGGTCCCTGAAGGATAACCCAGGAGGACGAGGCCTGGGAGACTCCTGGTCGGGAGGAAGCAAAAGCTGAGCCCAGAAGACAGGGCCCCTTTCCCCTGAGGCTGCTGTCTGTCTGTCTTAACGGAGGGGCCTGCCCAGGAGCAAAGGCAGGCAGGCCAGAGATGGGTCTCTTGACCCAATGCAAGTTTCTCCAATCCTGGCCGGGCCGGGATGGGCGAAAACACTTCTGGCCACTGCTGTGAGGAAAGTGCACCCTGCTCTGTCTATAGTCGCCAGCGCCCCTTTTCTGTATCCCCACAGCCCGAGGTGACCACCTTTGGGCCATGATGCTGGCTGCTCCCTCCATGATCCTCAGTGTCAAGGCAGGGGTTGGCCACAGGCCAGGCAGGGCGTGGCATCCCACCAGGGCAGGATAGAGACCCCAGAGCACTCTAGGAGGGAGGAGAAGCTTCCTGAGGGAGCCAGAGGCACAAAAGAGCCTGTTTGTCCACACCCTCCTCATGCTGCACGCTGAGAAGCCACCATGGCCACCAGACCTCTGTCACCCTCTCTCACCCTGCCATGCAGGCTCTGCCCCTGCACTCCAGACTCACTTTCCCGCCATCTCGTAGTAGATCATCCGGTCAAAGTTGCTCGTGAGCTGCCATTCCCGCACAGCCCGCCACAGTCCCTCCTCCAGGGTCATGCTGGGCTTCCGCCGGGCCAGGGATCTGAGAACTGGGCTGTAAAGCAGTGCAGTCAGTCCCAGTCCATGAGCCCACCCTCCATCCCAAGCCCACCTGGTCCCAACACCGGACCCCTGTCCTCCCCACACGTGTCCTGCCATCTGTCCCTGGCCTGTTTTCCCCCATGTGGTCTCCTCAGTCTCCAGGTAATGCCCCAAGATCAAACATCAACATAAGCCAACGGGTGGCCTCTATAACTGCCCCTCGAGTCCTCAGTGTTACAGTGTTGACAAGTGAACTCAGTACTGTGGGTGGAACGTGTGTCCCCAGCATTCCTGTGCTGAAGCCTTCAGCCCCAGTGTGTCCGTTCTTGGAGTCAATCAGGGTTAGATCAGGTCATGAAGGTGGGTTCCCGTCATGGCATCTGAGCCCTGATAAGGGCAGGAGGAGACACCAAGGCTGTCCCTCCTCAGCCTGGGACTTTGGCCTCTGGAGCCGGGAGACATGAATGTATCCTGATAAAGCACCCAGTCTATAGGATTTGTTGTGGAGGAGCCCAAGCTGACTCAGACAGCACGCACACAGAATGACCGGGGAGCCAGGGTTAACGTGCAGGTTCCAGGGCCCCAGGACTGAGCATTTAACCAGCTTCCTGGAGACTCTGGAGCAAGGCAGCCCCTGGGGACGCAGCCTGAGGGTCCTGGAGAGGAGCAGAAACCAGAACCAAAGCAGAGCGGCATCCAAGCCCACTGCATGTGGAGCCTGTGAGCCTGGGGCGGCTCCACTCCGAGAATCAGGATCCCCAGTGCACCGGGACTCAGCTCCAGGGGAGAAGGCAACCAGTCCCAGGATGCAGGAGCGGCAAGATTTTCCGGACGAAGATGGGGCCTCCTTACACCTACACCCTGGGCAGGGGACTTGCCTA